TGCAGTCTCACTGCTCAATTCTCTGCCATTTAGGAGTTAAATCACTTTTGTCTCTGTTAATGCAGCCCTAGACACACCTCGCCTGGCTATGCCTGACACTACCTACATGAAAAAAAGTGTGTTTATTTTAGAAGCTATCTCCTGCTATGTTAACCCATTATTTCATGCTATGCAGTTCTGTAGGGGGCGTGCTTAAACGCTGTTGGGGCGATATTGCACGCCTTAATGTTTTGGCCCTCCCTCTGGCCCGCCTCTCTGCCCAATGTGAGTAAGATCACTATTTCAATATCTCAGCCAATGACTTGTTACATAGGCTGAGATATTGCGTCTGCCCCTCTCTTCTCCTCACTTTGATCTGAGACAAGAGAGGCAGAGAGATCATTGCTAAACAGTGCTAAATGGCTAAAAGTTTTAGAAACTGTTTTAAAAACTATATATATAAATATAATTTTTAACCCTTCAAGTTAAGTGCTGGCTACAGCATTAAGCATGTGATCAGTCTGATTAGGGTAATTAGTATCCTGGCACTATTAATATATTTTATTTTTTAGGTGCCACCTTTTTTATTTTTTTACCCACTTTCCTGCTGCCTGATCACTGTACAGTATATGTGCTATAATTATTAAGTTATTATTTATATAGCGCCACCAGATTCCGTAGCGCTGTACAATGGGTGGACTAACAGACATGTAATTGTAACCAGACAACTGGGCGTACAGGAACAGAGCGTTGGAGAGCCCTGCTCAATGAGCTTATATTCTGTACTGTATCAGTTATCAGTGTGATTATAGAGCTCTCTGATCAAGCTGACTTATTAGGAGGGTTGGTGGGTTATTTCTATATACAGTTAAAAAAAAACAAAAAAAAACTTTTACTGCTGATCACAGCTGTTTGATCTGCGATCAGTAATGTTATTTAAATTTTTGGCTTGGAAGTGGGAATTGGGGGTGGGGTGGTAGTGGTATTATGCAGGTAGGCAAATTAATTAAAAAATGTTCTTAGTGACATAACTATTAATCCTCATGAAATTAAACACTTTTATATAGCGGGGGAGGTGAATGCCATTCTGGCAGGCTGTGACAGCAGTGACACTCTCGCAGACAGTGACACTATGACAGCCTCTGACATTAAACCCCTGGGTGAGTCCTTCAGAGATAGTGCCCCACCACATTTTTATTGACACATCCCTTGAAATGTAAAGGTAGATTGCTTTTTAAACAATATATCCCATCTAAGCGGTCACAATATGGCATCAAATCTCATAAAATATGCTTATAAAATATACCACCCGCTATATATGGGCGGCAATATCAAGGCAAGGGTGGCCATATTGGCCACCAGGACGCCCTGATTCTGTGGGCACAAATGGCAAAATTGTGTGGGATCTGATCATTCCCTTGTTAAATAAGGGTTATCATTAGTGATGTCCCGAACTGTTCGCGAACGGTTCGTCACGGTTCGCCGCGAACGGTTAGCCGCGAACTTCAGTCAGCAGACACATTCCAGCCAATCAGCAGCAGACCCTCCCTCCCAGACCCTCCCAACTCCTGGACAGCATCCATTTTGAAGCTGCATTCTTAGTGAGCTGTCCAGGAGGTGGGAGGGTCTGGGAGGGAGGGTCTGCTGCTGATTGGCTGGAATGTGTCTGCTGACTGGCGTCCGCGGGGAACCGTTCGCGGGAACTGTTCGACAAACAGTTCGGGACATCATTAGTTATCATCTATGGGTTGATAATGTTTATCCCAGTATTGATTTATTTAAAAATGTATTTTATTTCCAAACCCTAGTTTGTGGCACAATGTGTAAAACATGAAGACGTTTCCCCCAAATCTTGCCAAGCGGCAGAAGCAGTAGAGTCTCTATGCCAGGATGAGGTGTCTGCCCTTCGTTTCACAGATAGGAAGGGAATATGTGTAAATGCTGTCAGGAAAATGCACGACCAAAGTGCAATGCCTATCAGAGGAAGAACTGAGCAACTGGAAAAGTCGAAGTGCGTTGTAGACTACAGCAACTATATGGGGGAAGTAGACTTGGCTAATCATTGTAGACAGGCGCAAGTGCCCCCCCTTACCCTCCCTGCGGACACCCATGTATACAGCCTTATCTAGTGAACCGAAAAAGTTGGTCCGGATGCAATAAAATTGCAATCTATTTGAGCCAGGTTGCAATTTTCAATTCACATTTCACATTCAACATTTGTCCAATACTTTATTTACCCAGTCCGATCTCTTTGGAACCAACAGATGTCCAGTTACTTTGTGGCAAGCACTTTCCTTTCCGAATCCTGCCCATACCCCTTAAAAAGTCACCCCAGAGTAAGTGTTGTGGAAATTCAAAAAGACCCCATGTCTTCCTGACTTCTGCATAACAGACTATTTCAGAGTTTACCAATAACATACATTACATACCAACACACCCCTTTATTAAAATGCTAAAATTATATACAAACACCAACTCTACACACAAAAGCACATCTGCATTTAAAAGCCAACATTGCATACAAACACACACCCTTGCATTCAAGAGCTGAACTATTAAATCACTCTGTACGGGACTTTGTCAGTTTGTTTGATTTTTCTGGATTTCTGACTACTCTATGTTAGCTGCCTGGACCAACTTATTGGCTTGTTGTACTGACTACTCTGACTTCTGGATTCCCTTGACCTTGGCCTATCTCTGTTTACGTTAAGCCCAGCCATTATAAGCAGGCTACATCAAACAACTCAAAATACTACATTTAGAATCACTGGTGTTTTGAGAGTTACAGTCACCTGGGGCAGAACAAAATGTTGTACTACCCTTATGTACCACCCCAACAGCCCCATCCGCCCTCTGCCTTTGGTTGGAATCTTAATTCAACACATGTAAAGACTATAGTAAAATATATATTATGTTAGTATTGATTAATATTGAATTATTGGCCCTAAAGAGAACCCAAAGTGTACCTACTATCTAGTATCAACCCACGCAACTGCACCAGGTGGTGGGTGGCTTAAAAATAAAGAATAATAAGTAAATGACCAGTTACACGCAGCTAATCGCTGACATTTTAAGACAGTGGCTATTCTCCAATTTTTTATATACTTTTTTTTTTAACAAATGTACATGATGATAGTATTGATTATCAAAAGAATTATTGGCCCTGGAAATTACTGCCACTGTCTGTAAAACAGGCAAATTACTATAGTGAAATAAAATTAAATTGCTTTTCAAACGCTGTAAAAATGACTTAAAATAAACAAAAGACGTTTGCTGCCCTTAATCTCGGCTCTACTCCCCACTACTTTTTGGGCACCAAAAATGGTCTATGTCACTCAATGGCGAGGGCAGAGCTTAACATGAGGATGTGAAGTGACATCCTTACTCTAAGCTAAGCACCCACCGTCGAATGACAGACAGGAGTGGCAGAACTAATGTAGAGAGGCCCCTGGTGCAAGCGTGGCCAAAAGGTAGATTACCATCTGTTGTACATCTCCCACGATGCGGTGCCAGCTGGGGATCTTTTCAGGATTTTATTTGTGAGCAGTGTTTGTGTGTTTGAATGTAAGCATGTTTTTGTATGGAGTATGTGTGTGTGAACATAGGGGTGTATCTGTGTGTATTGTAGGCATTTGAATGCAGTTGTGTTTGTATGTACTGTTGCCACTTGAAAGCAGTGGCGTCGTTTTGTGTAGTGTTTTTGAAAATGGTGTTTGATTACATGTAGTGTTGGTGTTTGATTAAAAGGGGTGTGTTTGTATATAGTGTTGACACACACAGAGATACACATACATACCGAAACACATACACACTGACACACACAAGTCTCAAATTACATATTTTAGTCATGTCCCTGGGCTGGATGAGACTGATGAAAGTCTGATACTGTCCAGACTCTCTGTCTGCATTATGCTCCCTCCACCCTCTTTGTGCCTCAATTGCCCTCCTAGCCCATTCCTGTTAGCTGGGAGGAAATGATAGGTATTCACTTCCTCCCAGGATTGGCTGTGGACAATAAATTTGCCCGGTCACATTGCTAAAGCACCCAACCTTGCTCCTTGCTACATCTGCCTACCTATCGGATTTGCCCTCTGGGCTACCCAATGGTTCCAATGGGTTCTATCACTGAGTGCTACTCTGTGCGTGGCTTGATGTGTACATCAAGTCATGAAACTGCTTTAGTATCTTGCTTTGGTTTCCATTGTGAAACCAGATAGCTTATCTTAGCTTATTACACACCAAACCTAATCAAAGGCATATGTCTATATATATCATAAAAAATAAAAATGTTAAAGCTACCCTACATTTCTTACACTGTGACTACATAAAAGAAATCCAGAAAAAACAGTACATGGGGAGAATTGTTGGTGAGACAATGCTAAGTAAAAATATCAGGATTATGAAATGTCTTGAGAAAAGAAAACGTGACCCCTACATGGGGCAAGTATTTGTGATAAAGTGGCTATACTAAACGTCTCAAATTACTCCATTTGGAATACCCTGGGTTCTCTTCTTTAAAAAATGATATGCCATCATGGGGGTAGTTTTCTTCCCTGGTCTGCCACACTGCCTCAAAAGTGACATAGGCCCAAAAAATCACTTTGTCGAATTTCCAAATTGAAAAATGCATCTAAAATATTTGACCCTGTGACCTCTCAAAAGAAAACTGGAAAACCGGCACATGGGGAGAATTGTTGGTGAGTAAAACTATTGAGGATTTATTACATTAACCCACATCAGGATTATGAAATGTCTTGAGAAAATGGAGTTCATGTGAGTGAAAAAACAAAATTATACCACTAAATGGGGCCTGCATTTGTGATAAAATGGCTTGATCAAATGTCTCAAAATACGCATTTGGAATGTTCACATGAACACTAACTTTGGCCAGGATTTGTGGCTACTAAAAAGACTGGACATACCCCTTTTTTGCATACCATGGGTTGTCTACTTTTGCAAATAATATGCTATGATGGGGGCAATTCTCATTCCTGGACTGCCATACGGTCTCAAAGGCAACATAACAATTCAGCAAATTTGAATGTGTAAAAACTGAAATGGGCAAGCCCTATATTTGACCCTCTAACTTTCCAAAACCCATAAAACCTGTTGCACTTGTGAGACATCACTGAACACAAATATGTGTATTAAATTGCAGTAAAAACTAACAGTATTATGACATTCACAGTTAAAAGGCCATGCAGAAAATAACAATATTCCAGGTTTTGTTTTGGTTCTGAGCTTGTACAATTGCCTGTATCCTTAAGGGGTTAAATGAACTTTAATCACACACACACGGTTCCTGCAAGCTCTATCAGGCTAGTAACAGAAGAGCCAGGATTAAGAAAAATGTGGCCAAATGTTCTTTTTTTTAAAAATGTTTTTACTAAAAAAAAAATACAGCTAATTGTATCATTGTACCTGCACACAATACGGATACATAACAAAGAGCATTATTGAGATGCTGAAATATATTACCCTGGATAGAAATTAGAATACACCTTTACTTAGTCATTCAGACAGACCAGGTCTGGAGTTTTGTATCTTAACTATAATTCTATACCATTCATCAAATAAAATAATCAATAAAAAGGGAGAAGTGGGGATGTAATGATATGAGGGCAAAAGATGAAATAGGAAATAAATGTATAAAAATAAAAAAATAAAATCTTTCAAGAAATGGTTATTCATGTTCACGTGTGTATGCGTGAAATATAAGCAGTTATAAAGGGTTTCAAATATCTGGGTTACGATGATGTCTTTTGCCAATCTCGAAAAGTAGATATAGTATGATGAGAGCAATTTAGAAAGATTAGCGTAAGGAGGACAGTTACCCAAAATAGTTTATGTGGACATATTGAGGAATCTCAGAAAACGACAGAAAATAAGAAACAAACTGTGTTGTGTTTGATGGTTAGTCAATCATATTTCATATTCTTAATATTCTTCCTTCCCAAAGCCATTTACGATTAGACGCTATAAGTTGACATTTTTATGAAAGCAAGTAGGGGATTGATTAAATGATGTAAGAGTGACAAATTGCATTGAAGGCATCACACGATCTGCCATCAACAAGATTATCTGTTCTGTTGGATTTACACCTGAACAGAACATGTTCCATTGATGGTGGTGTTGATTGGATAAGTTTAATTTAAGTAAAGGAGTTTAGGTATGCGTGGGATAGGCATAAAGCTATCCTAACTATAAGATAAGGCCAGGGACTAATGAAAGTATTTAGAAAATTGGGCAGACTAGATGGGCCGAATAATTCTTTTCTGCCGTCACATTCTATGTTTCTATGTTTAAGTGTGGATATCTTGTTTCGTTTAGTTACAAATGCTATTTTAACTAGATCTGTTGCTTCCTAAATACCACCCTTGTGATTCTCTGTATTTATAACCCTTGTGTTTCTCTGCGTTTATAAAGTTCTTCAGAGCAACACATTCTTTTTATTATCATTTGTGACATTCTGTGTGATACAATATTCTTGCACATTTCCCCAGGCCAAGATGAGGAAGATAAAGCGATATTTCACTAAAGCATTGCATCGAATTCAGAAGGGACCGGGGTATACGTACAAAGAGTTGCTTGTCTGGTTCTGTAACAATACAAACACCCATGGTCCCAAACGCATCATCACAGAAGGACCGAAGAAGAGGGTATTGTGGTTCATGCTGACTCTGGTCTTTGCAAGTCTTGTTTTCTGGCAGTGGGGGATTTTAATCCAAACCTATCTCTCCTATGGCTTGAGTGTCTCCCTTTCTATAGGATTCAAAGCCATGGAATTCCCAGCAGTGACCGTCTGCAATGCCAATCCATACAAGTGAGTGCCACAGGATTTGAGACAGTGTAACATTTTAATGTATGCAACAGTTTCAAAAGCTGACCATTATATAAACATGGCTCGTATAAATATATATAAAAACAAAGAAAGTGAGCCTATCATAAAATGGTGGGGTGTATGGCTGTTGGCAAGCCAGGTAAATAAATTGTTTTACTGAGCTAGAATGAGTGAGTTAACTAATGCCACCAGACCAGCTGAAACACACGTACCTAATGTTACATAGTTACACGTAGTTTCACAGGCTAAAAAGAGACATCTGTCCATCAAGTTCAGCGTTCCTCACATCTGTTTTTGCTGTTGATCCAAAAGAAGGCAAAAAAAAAACAGTTTTGGAAAAAACGCTTTCGAATTTTGCAACAAATTAGGAAAAAATTCCATCAGTCAGATTTATCCTTGGATCTAGAAGCTAATACCACCACAAATTTAATTTATATACCTGAATTTTATGTTTTTGCAAGAATTCATCCAGTTATTGTTTAAACATCTGTACAGACACTGATAAAGCCACCTCTTCAGGCAGAGAATTACACATCCTTATAGTTAAGGTAAAAAGCCCTTTACTTTGCCTTAGACTAAATCTCCTTTCTTCCAGTCTAAGCGCGTAACCTCATGTCCTATGCATAGTCCTATTTATGAATAGATTTCCAGACAATGGTTTGTATTGGTCCTGAATATATTTGTAGAATGCTATCATATCCCCTCAGAGGCACCGTTTTTCTAAACTAAAGAGGTTTAATGTTAATGTCATTAACTTCACTCACACAGGCCTGTGATGGACTGCCAGCCAGGATGGCACATAGATGCTCCAACTAGCTTCTGGCAGTACAGACATTACAAAGATTATGGGAAAACTGCATCAGTAACTATTTTGAAAATTACCTTTATTGAGTGATTAGTTTTTGGACTGTCACGAGTTGTGATGATATTATTCATGTTCCAGTTGAATTTCTTTTAGAGAGGACACACATAGATGATAAATGTGGGAGAAACTGATGTTTTTGTTTGCAGTCTATATTTAAAGAAAATTGAATATCCTTAAAAGGAATGTTCGTGAATTTAAGAGTAGCTAAAACATGGACCCTTACGGTCCAAAGGATAAAAGTACCATGACGCAACAGAGACTGGAAGAAGTGGAGGGTCAATTCTTGTGGCAACAGCCTGTAGAATGTCAGGAAGAAGACATATTGGAGACATTGTGTCTGCAGAATAGGGAACTTTTTGAGTGCAATCAACCCCTGTCCCTAATGTAGGCCTTTGAGCAGGGCCCTCAACCCCTCTGTTCCTGTGTGTCCAACTTGTCTGGTTACAACTACATGTCTGTTCGTCCACCCATTGTAAAGCACTGCGGAATTTGATGGCGCTATATAAATACCATAATAATAATAATAATAATAATAATAATAATAATAATAAATGGCCAAACAAACATGTTGAACATAACTATGCATTATCCAAATTTGTGGATTATATGTCAATTTCTGTTCATGTTGCATGTTTTTAGCTTCTAAGATATTACATTTTTTTAGCAATATCACAAAAAAATGATAATTTCACCACTTTCTCTCCCTGTTGCTTGAAGGTATTCAAAGGTGAAACATCTTCTGAAGGATTTGGATGAACTAGTTGAAACCGCCTTGGATCGAATCCAGTTATTGAGTCCCAGTAACTCCAACACATTGCTTCCAAATAGTACCAGTAACATGACCTTAAACAGCAGTATGTGGATCAACATACCTTTAGTGCTCATTGATGAAAACGATTCAAACAACCCCATTATCTATAATATTTTCAACTCAAGTACCGATTATTCGACCACAAATGTTAACAGTAACCAAACGTCCTATGCTCAAAGATACAAAATAGCAATAGAGTTGGTAAGCCTATAATTCAAAACTCATTTAATGTGTGTGAGTTCTTTCAAATGTTATAGTCATTTATACCTGTTAGCAAAAAGCCATTTACTTCTAGGAGGTGGCACTGGATGACCACTGTAGGCACACATTTTGCCAGACTTGACCAACAAATAGGTTTATATATTTGTATTTACTATTTTCTTATTAATAATTGTAATAATAAATCACCCTGTCACATTAAAATTGTTTATTATAAACATAATTGATGCCACAAGGCCAGATGATACATGGGGCCTCTGTAAATTTCACGGTACATCCATCCGTGCCGCATCCAGTTCTCTCCATTTTCCAGTACTTCCTCTATGCTCTCCAAACCTAGCTTCCCACCTGAAATGTTGATAACTGCAGTGACAAAACAAAGTAGTGAGGGCCCTATGCACACAATATTTGGGAGCCCAGCACTACTGATTAATAAAAACTCCTACCATAATCTCCTACTTACCTGATTTCTAGGGGCTTTATCAGGGGAAAGGGAAACTGTAAGCTGGGGTGTACGACTCTTTTAAAGCAAGACACAGGTTTCATCACCTCAGGATTGGTGCGAATCTCTCCAGTTATGTCACCTTTAGTAGCCCAGGATGGAGAACTCTCCATCAGTGTCACCTTTTGTAGCCTTGGGACACTTTCCAACTTAAGGACAGGTGGGTGTGATGCACCTTCCACAGTGGGCTCTGTTGTCAAATTAGTTGCTTGGCTGTTATACATAATTATATCATATTACAAGATTGCTTTAAAGCAAAGTACGGCTTATGTAGGCTAGTCAGATCAACTGCATAGCTCTGTTATATTTAACATACTCCATTGAACGTGTAGCTGGAATTCTTACAAATTTACTTCATCGTTAAATCACATCCAAGATGTGTTTACTAAATAGTGTGTTGGCTACTGTGTTGCAGAATGAGCTCTTCTGATTTTTACTTTCTCACGCTACTTGGCCAAGCTGTGCTTGTGATCTGACCAGTAGACACGTGTGGCGAGTTGGCCAGACTCATCAGGACAAATATGTCCTTGTAAAAAGCCAGTTTGTTTCTTTTAAAGGAAGTCAATAAAAACAAGAGTTAATCATAATTCTTCTAGATTCCAGTTATCTCCTCAGCAATCTGCAACGGGTTCTAGCCAGACCTCATGTTTACAAGGTGTTACTGTGTGACAGGGTAAAAACAGGTAAAAACAGATAAATGTAAAAACAAGGTGAAATATCGAACACAAAGCATTTTTTGATGACGTATTTGTATAGAGTAAAGTATGCTCTATGAGGCTGAATATGAAATATGGAAAGTGTTGATGAAATATGGGATGAGGCTGTAATATGCAAAATGCAGGATAAATTTGCCACATGACAGTTCACTTATGTCAAGTGAGCTTTTAATTATAGAAAACAAGGGATAAAATAAGGCACAGTGTGATTTATAAACACATTTATGAGAAATTACATTTTTAATCTATTACCTTGTTATAGGATACCATCTCAGTGGCCTACTTTTCCCACTCTCTCTTTCTGACAGCCGTCTTTAGGCAGATTGTTAGTGATCTGAGCACAATGACTTTTGGCTACAGAGGATGCATTTTGCCGCCTCTCTTCTCCCAATAGAAAATGTATTTTCACCTCTGTTTCTCTTAACCACCTTTTTTAATTTCTTGCCCCCCTTTTGTGTTTCCTATCCCCAATTTTGATTGTCCTACCCACTTTTGTGTATCTTACCCCAATTTTCCCCCTTTGGGTGTAATACACCCCATAGTGTGTCTTTTACAACTCCACATTGTGAGTCTCTTACAACCCGCCACCCCCATGTGTGTCTCTTACTTCATCCCAGCCTCTCTCCCCCCAGGCCCTTGGAGTGTCTCTCCCCCAGCTCTTTTTGTGGATGGTTCTCCCCAAGCCTTTTCTGTGTGTGTCTTAGTACCGGCCCTTTTGTTTGTCTCTTTACTTTCCCATAGCCCCTATGTGTGTCTCATCCCCCCACAGCCCTTATGTGTGTCTTTTCTAACCCCCCCATCCCCTTGTGGTCTCTTCCACTCTCACCCATTGCTGTGTGGTCTCTTCCACTCCTCTCTGCCTTTGTGGTCTCTTCCTCACTCTCTTGCAGGCTGACCTTCCTCCATGTAGCATGGCCAATAGGACCACGGTAGAGGATCTGCTGTATCCTATATCCTAACTGACAGGAAGCTATTTCTCGCTCCCAGTGAACACTTCCTGTCACAAATGGTAGCGGACAAAGATTCTCTATCGCAGTGCATTTAGCTACGTAACATTAAGAGACTTGCAGGAGGGGGAGTGCTGTGCAAATCACATGGTGAATGCGCCGCCCGGCCGGTGTGCCTTAGGCAGCCATCTGCGCCACCTTATGGTTGTACCAGCCCTGTCCGAGTATTTACTCACTATCTTACAATCATCTGTTGCTTTACAAAATCACGTTCTTTCTGCCTGCTGCATTTTCTGTCAGGGAATTTTGAAAAGCAATGGAGAGTTGCAAAATAGTGAGCATTGGGTCTGATAACGTAACGGGGGACTGGGAAAAGAAGCAACTTAAACATTTCAACATACATGTATCCAAGGAGATTTTGAGGTCATCATTGCTAGTTTTGTTATTGAATAGACTGTAAGATATATCTTTAATACTAAAGTAATAATTATTTTTTCACTAAATCCATAGCCAGATTTGGGCAGATGAACGCAACTCTCCTGGCATTTCTAAAAATCGCATTTTTCTGTAACTTGAATACAGTTAACATTGATGGAAGCCTTCAAGTTTGTCTTGAAAGCTCTGTTATTTACAACCAGGCTGCTTAGTCCTGAGTAGGTCCGATCAAGGCAAGAACCTGTTGAATACAAGAAAAATCTAGTGTCTAAACTATATTCTTCTCGATTTACCTGTCTATAGCCTTCGTTGCTGTAGTAAATTCTGCCCATTGCTAAATGGTACCACTATGTCCCATTTCAGGAAGAAGCAGAATGCTATTCTAATGCTGGGTTTGCCAAACATTGACTTCTGTAGTATGCTTTAGTCAGTCCTGTGAATCAGCCTCTACTTACAATGGAAATGGACATGCAAACACCAGGTTCATGGTATGTTTTCACCCCCTGCGGTGATATAGGGAACTACAAATAAGGAGAAAATACATGTAAAAAAAACTGCAGCGTATAGCTAACATTCTTAAAAAAGCAAGGGAAGGCAGAGCACAACTATCATCAAAGTGTTTATTTATTAAGCCAGGAACTGTGGAGAAAAGACCATGTAGCACACCCTGGGTAACCCGACTAGTTACCTCTGCTAATTCTCCTCTCAGCCAGACTGAAACCATGTGTAATTATAACTCTCTTCCCCCCAGCAACCAGATGAGACATAGTTCTGGGAGTAATCTGAGTTCATTGCTCTGAATGCAGCTTTTTATGCTCAGACCCCAAGCATTGGGTCTCCATACAAAGTAATACAAAGCCCTCGCACGTGTCCCTGTGTCTGGGAGGTAATTCAGTAAAATACCAGGAATTCCAGGCTCTCGATGACCAGGTACCGCTGCCTGCGTTCAGGAGACAAAACAGCCGCCATTCACTAGAGAACGTGGATTCGGTTTTACGATTGGCGGCCACCCAGGGAAAGCACTTAAATGAATGAGTTCCTTTGAAGTTAACGAGCCATGGGGTGGTTGGTGTTCGGTGCATATAAAAGGGTGGAACGTGTCTATGTTCGGGAGCCGAACAAGTGTGGTACGGGCAAGATAACTCTCGAACAGTGTAAAGTCCATCCTTTGCATTGAAACATACTAGTCTATAACAAACAGACTCTTTGCCCCACGGGTATAATGACACAGTGCCCCACAGACCAGTCAATTGAAAAATACAGGTCAAAATATTTTATACTCTTCTATTTTTATAGAAGAGTATAAAATACACAATACTACAAATTAAAAGAAAATCAACTTGCAAGCATCTCAGTTTTATGTGATTTTTGTGCAAGATATTCAGTGATCATGTTAATTTTCTCTACAGTGCTCCAACAGTGGTACGACTTGCGTCTACCGGAATTACACCAGCACAATCCAAGCCTTAAGTGAATGGTACATGTTGCAATTTTCGAATATCTTTTCCAAAGTGTCACTTGCAGAGAAAAAACAAATGGGTTTCCAAGGAGAAGACATGATTCTGACGTGTTTATTTGGCGGACAGGCCTGCAGTTACAGGTAGAAATAAATATCATATATCACCGACACTTTTCTCTTTGCTGAATGCTGGGTTCAAAGGGCAGAGCTTATAACAGTGATTGACAGAGCTAAATTGAGGCGTTCATTTGCAGGATAAAAAGGGTTGGTTTTCTACATTTCATTTTATTTTTCACACCTCTTAAATACATATTAGTTAACTGTAGGGCTAAGTAAACATAATATTAAAAATCATGTGTAGGTACAGTTGCTCTTTAAATACAAAAGACTCTTAAATTATTTTTTTTTTAAATAAATATCCTGCCTGTGAAAATCAGACTACCTGAAAGGGACATTATAGTCACCAAAACAACTTTAGCTGAATAAAGCAGTTTTGGTGCATAGATCATACCTCTGAAGTCTCACAACTCAATTCTCTGCCATTTAGGAGTTAAATCACTTTTGTTTCTGTCCATGCAGCCCTAGTCACACCTCCCTCTGGCTGTGACTGACACAGATGGAGTGAAAAAATGGTTTCATTTTGATCAGATATAACTTACTTTAAAAAGGGTTATCTCCTGCTCTATAAATTGAGCTTTAATTACACATGGGAGGCTCCTGCATGGTCTAGCAAGCGATCAGCAGAGCTGGAGGTAGCAAATTCTATATTAAACAGAATTGGCAATAAAGGAAGCATAAATATTAGATGACTCATTACAGGAAGTGTTTATGAAGGCTGTGTAAGTCACATGCATGGAGGTGTGACTAGGGTTCATAAACAAAGTGATTTACTATAGTGTCCTTTTAAGTACAGAAATACATTAGTAAAAATAAATGCAAAAAAATATTCACAATATTTACTTACAAATTGTTAACTAATTAAAACAATTTAAAATAGAGTAACAAACAAATAAGGATGTAGTGTATTGATAAACGGTTTTTGGGTTGTTGTTTTTTTTACACACAGATGTTCCAGAATTTAGGCAAAAAGTGCAGTTTTGAAAAAACTTATCTGACTCTACTGTAGTCCCTAATTGACTGTTTTAGATTTTTTTTTTTTCAGTTCACAATGCATTTCAATTTTTATGTTTCATGTATAAGCACCATTATCTTACATTCAGATTTTCTCAGAATCATCATCTGATTCACAGATTTATTACCTTATAACTATTACCGTATTTAATCATTCTGATATTGTCAGCTTTGGAATAATGCTGCCAGAATTATAGTCTGTGTCCTTGAGATTTGAACAGACTTTGTAGTCAGTGCATTAACTCACTGAGCCACCTTGTTATTTCTCACCAGTAAATAAGGTAATTTGCTAGTATTTCACATATGAATTATTCAGCCATGCAAATCTTAATTCACGTGGACAGCGGACTCAGAGGCGGCTCTCTAATTAGGCGATTTAGGCGGCCACCTAAGGCCTCGTGCTGGCTGGGGCTTCGCAGCTGCCTAAGTCGCCTTAGGTTAGTGTGACATCAGGAGGGGGCCAGGAGGCTTGCCCTGTTTGCCGCCGTGTGCGAGGCCCCTCCAGTCTGTCCTGAGAGCCAGCCTTTAGTCTGCAGCTCTGCTGGGTGTGAGCTGTAGACTGAAGTGTCTCGTGATCCCCATCCAATCAGAGCGTGGGTTTCCACAGCAATGCCCTGACTTCTGGAGATCGCAAGACTCTTATCACGTGGTCTGCAGCTCACACCCGGCGGAGCTGCAGACCGAATAGGAAGGCCACCGGACCACCAGGGAGAATGGCAGCCCACAGGACCACTAAGGAATACCTCTCCTCTTTTCCCCCTGTTACCTCCTCATTCAGCTACCTGTCACCCCCTCACTCAGTCCCCTGTTACCCTCTCTTTCCCTCACTCAGCACCTATCACCCGTTCCCTCTCACACTCTGCCACCCTTCACACCCTGTCAGCCCATTTCACACTCTATTATCCCCCTCTATGCACATACACTGTCACCCCCTCCACACATCCTGCACTACTCCCCACACACACTGTCACCAAACTTCCACACACTGTCGCCCCTTTAACCCTGCCACACTCACTTTAACCCACCCTGATACTGTTACACTCACCCCCTTCAACCAAATTGCACTCAACTCCCCTCGTTCTACTACACTCACCTTATCACATTACCCCCTAATCCTGTTACACTCACCTTTTCTCTCACTGGCACGCTCACCACTCCTTTTCCTGTCACACTCCCTCCTCCAACCGTGCTACACTCACTTCCAACCCTGCCACACTCACCCTGTCAATTAATTCACCTTAATCATGTCACATTCACCTCCCCTTGCCCTTTTACCCTCACTCCTGCAACAATGCCCCATTCACCCCAACCCTGTGATACACACCTCCCCTCACCATGTAACACTCCATCCTTCAACCCTGCCACACTCACCCTGTCAATTAATTCCCTTAATCATGTCACATTCACCTCCCCTTGCCCTATAACCCTCACTCCTGCAACAATGCCCCATTCACCCCAACCCTATGATACACACTTCCCCATCCATGCCACATTCACCCTGTCACGCTAACCTCCCCTCACCCTGTAACACTCCATCCTTCAACCATGTCACACTTGCCCTCGTTCATTCTGTCGCTCTTACCTCCTCACCCTGCCACAGTTACCCCTTAACGCACCCTGTCACAGTCACCCCCGAAGACAATCATCATACACACAAAGTCATAAAACATAGCTTGGCGATAAACAAAGTGCACAAAGGCACAGGCAGCCCCCCATACACACAAAACAAAACTCTGCACATAACACAAAACACTCAGTGTCAGACACTCTCAGGCACATACACAGGTGGACAATGCCAGACACACTCAAATACACACAGCCAGATAAATACACACCGTGACTATATGTCTTTATTAGTCAATATTTGTGTCTCTGTGCATCAGTGTGTTTGTGTGTGTGTATGCATGTGCATGTATCAGTGTCTATATGTATTTGTGTATTAGTGTTTATATGTGTGCATGTATTAGTCTGTATGTCTGTGTCTGTAATGTGAAGGTAAAGTTGGAAACAGCATATATATTATATGCATACATATGTGGGAAAAATGTCTATGACATTGTTTTCTTATCAGTAACTTTATTATTTGGTAAATGATTTTTTTTTAAAGCCCAACCAAAATGTAAATTTTTGTTTCCAATAACCCTTTCACACTGGCACTTATGTGTACACGACTGCCAGGCTGTATAACCATACCGAGCAATCGTGTATAAATGATTAGCATAATTGTAAATTAAATTTGTTTATTGCATATTATGCCATAACTACAGTCAAAGAGCTCACAATGCAGCGGCATAGGGAGCCGCGACAATGCAAGCCTCTGAAGATGAATACAGAGACTACCTCTCTGTATCCAAAACTGCCAGCCTGCCATTTAATATATCTACAGGTTCTTATCAACACGCTTATGGGCCTCGTGATTAGCTGCAAGCTGACAAGTGATCATGGGATTGTTAATTAGTATTATTATTTATAATAATATTATTCTCTGCTAATAAGAGATCTGCTTATTGACAACTTCTGTTCTCAGGTGTACTTGCTCGCAGTATTAAACAGCGTGTATTATTTTTCTTTTTTACAGAAATTTTACTCAAATTTATGATCCTGACTATGGAAACTGTTATGTCTTCAACTGGGGCCAGGAAGGACAAGATCTCTTGATGTCTGCCAATCCAGGAGCTGATTTCGGTAAGTGTGTAGAATTCTGCATGACTCTGTACGCACACCAGAAAGATCAGTGGACGTGATTGAAGTCATTCTTTTTTTTGGAATTGATTGTTATTTTTATTTTGTTTGTAAGACCTAGTAATAGACCAACATAATGGTTTTTTAAGAATTTTTTTTTTGTGTGTGTGTGATATACAAGGTAATTTGCTAAAGTAAAAACGCAAAGTGAATTTCAAAATGAGGTCAAAATAGTCGTAATGTAAAAAATATTAATATGAAGAACAAAAAAATAATACCAAAATATAACTACAAAGGATAAAATTCCTAGACAATTGCGTACTCTGCTTAGTGGCAGATAGGAAAAAAACAAGCTTTTTTCTGGACGATCCCCTGTAAGTACAACAAACCTTCCCCAATACACATGCTGGTGGTTTTCTAACTTCTTGGCTCAGAAAATGGTATTCTGTTTATTATGTTCTTTCTCCAGACACACAGGGATAAAATATCTGCTTGAAACGTAATCCACAAGTAGTTGCCCATGATACAAGGACTTATCTATCCTTTGTACATTTGCTCTGTGTGCCCGTGCCCAGAACATCTCAAAGTCATTATTGTTTACTGCTCAATAAACACAGTCTAGTATGTTGTCATATTTTACATGTCCTTTGTACAGTTTTATTCTGTTTAGTTTTTTAGTCCTTAAGTAACATTGTTGCAAAGTCGCGTGTTTTGCTCTTACAGCCATGCTTCTATTTTATCCAACCATACCTGGTATTAGTTTCTGACTTTGGGATCAGTAATATGACCGTCCATGAATGGGTTGAAGAATATGAATCTGCCTTGTACCAACAAAGACCTCGATGTAATTGATAATCTCAACCAATCACAATGCTTTCCCACAGGAAAACATTGGATTGGCTCAGATCGTCAATTATGATGATGCCACCCTAGCCAATCAGCATCTCCTTATAGAGATGCATTGAATCAATACATCTCTATGCAGAGAGGTCAGTGTCGCCATGCAGAGCGCAGTAGAACCTTTAAGAGAATTAGAGGGTTATTCACTAAAGCGAGACTTCAAAGTGAATTTTACATTTAAGGCCAGAGTAGCTGAACTAAAAGCATAGCTGACTTAGAGAATGTGTCCAGCTCAGCTATTCTAACCTAGAATTTAAAATTCACTTTGAAATATCACTTTCGTAAAAAATAACTTTGTTTGTATCATGTTACACCTCCCCTGCATCATTAATCCAACTTTTTTCAGCATGGCACCATTTTGGATGCTAGATATTGCTTCTCCAAATCATGAAATGGTTCCTCTGATACCACATCTGACCAAGTCTTTCTTTTTAGTTCTGGTAAAAGCTCCTCAACGAATAGTACCATTCCCTGTCGTGTCCGATAGCGCATTCATTGTCTCCATGTGTTTTTTGCCAGGCTGGTGAAAAAGACTGGAAAGTGGACGATGCATGTATCTTTTTATAAAGACTGTATTTTGTATAAAATGTGTGGTACAAAACCACTCCTTGTTTGAAAAAGAGAGATAATATTCTGAGTCTGTCATATTAACAGTAACTTAAAGTGTGTATAGGATCTGATAACTAGACAATATGGGGTAAATAGTTTTAGTCTTAGACATATCTATGAACCCTGAATGATTGAATAGAGTCTGATAGAATGTACAGCCGGGTGAAAGGATAAATTAGTATTTCATACCAGAATATTATACTTGGTATCTTTACTTGAACTGGTGGCTCTGTAAGTACTGACATTTAGACATTTTATAGGTACCAGTTAATGTTTGGTCTTTGCCTACATTTTCTTGGTGATCTGTTTAAAGGTCCTCTCTTTGTCCACGTGTTGTTATTTAACTATTTTCTTTAGGGCTTCATTAAATAAAAAAAAAAAAATAAACACTGCCATTAATTATAAGTGCCCCCAATTAATGGATATATTGGTTTGTATGAAATATAATTATAGGGGGACTGACTGTTGCAAGGATTTTTCATATCATGTTTACGTATCACAATTTTTAACAAGTATGTATTTACGAGGTTTGAAAAATAAAATCAGATGTAGAAATCCACCCCTTTTTACCCTGCAACTGGGCGCCTCCATCTTAGCTCCTTGTCATTCATTGTTATAAGCTCTGTCCTTCACACCTGGCAGTCAGCTTTGAAAAATTATACAGAGAAAAGGAGAAAGGAGAAGAATTAAAATTTCTACTAAAACAGAGAATCACATGAAAAAAAGTTTAAAACAAGTTATAGATGATTTTCAATGTTTTGTCCCCTTTAAAATGTTTTAGAAAAGCCAAAAATCCACCATCCTAAATATCTTTTATCTTTATTGCTCTTTAATTTTAGCAGACAAACAAATACATTAACCGGTTGGATAAAACTAAGCCTTGCTATCTTTTTTATTAACTGGCTGACGGGACTATTTCTTACTTTGTTACTGATGTAATATTACATTGCCCATCTAAGTTTTATAAGAACACGTGTCTTAAACATCAAAGGGACACGAAAACGAAAAAGAAATAGACTCAGAGCTGTGCCAGATCAGCAACAGCATGTATTGACCCTAGTGATCCATAGCTGGAAAGATAAGAATAATAGTTTGTATCAAACAAGTATTGTAGCTCTAATAGAGAATACTTCCCAGGGGGCCGAGAGGTTGCTGTGTACTATTTTCTAGTATTGTAATGTGTGATAATTGTGTTTATTTACCGCTATTGGTCTTTAAAGAGTAGCAGTTGCTATTTATTTTAGTTTTTAATATATTGAATAGATCTTTAAAATGAATTTATGTTTTATCTTTTCTTTGTTTACTTGTTATAACTTATTAGCACCTTCCTTTTCATGTTTTTGGTTTTCATACATATTGACTCATTTAATAGCAGTGTCTGCTTAGCTGATATACCCCCTTTTTATATTGGCAGAACATACCCTCTAGTATCATCACTGATTTCAAGGCTTTAAGGAGTCACTGCAAGTAATACTTAGCAGGATGACAAGTAGGCCAAGAGATGTACTTCTACCAGCCCAGATCTCACAGCTCTCCATTGAGGTCTGGCTGTGTAGATTGCGATAATCCAGGTATAACATGCCTGTGAGCAATCCGCACAAGTCTAAGCTCAGATCTCGGCTCCCTCTGCTCTAAATGACTAGCAGAAAGGCCACCACCTACAAAAATCATATGTATAAAGGAGGGAACATTATAATCGTGTTGTAGTGTTTGCTGTCCCATTAATGTTTTCAAAACGGATCGTCCCTTGTTCTCCATGAACGTGTCTCTCAGAGCAGTTGGATATATTGTTTTGGCTGCCCCCCCAATAACTAAACTCATGTTCCTTCCACAGGATTGAAGTTGGTCCTAGACATTAATCAAGATGAATACATCCCATTTCTCCAGACAACAGCCGCGGCCAGGTTAATCCTTCACCAACAGAGAAGTTTCCCGTTTCTCAAAGACTTGGGCATTTATGCCATGCCGGGCACGGAGACTTCCATCGCTGTACTTGTGGTATGTCCCTGAGAAAACAAACTGAGAACAAAACTATCTGATGGGACCTGAGCCAGATGGTTTGGTTTTAACTGGCTTTTTATGTATGTTTATTGTTGTTGTTTTAGCAGTATTCGTTTGTTTTAATTGGATTTTTTTTTCTGCTTTAACTTGTAGCAAGCTCTGCTTTAGACAGAGTTAGTCATTCTTTTTAATCACTTTTACGCATATACCTCACATTTCCAATAACCCTCTAGGTCAGGCAAGTGATCTAATATTAAATGGAAGCTGAAAGCAAAATCAAATCTTCTCCAGTGTTATCACACATAAAAAGTGTCCGTAGTCGTTTAATACAAAGATAGCTGTCTTTGTCGTAAGGTTGCAATCCTGGCATTTCTTAAAGGGCCCACTGGGAGTGTGATGGTATTATACAAAATCTGTTACAAGAATGGCATGTTGGTCAGAACTAGACCCAAGAGATAGTGTGTCAGAAGGGACACATCAGGATAGATTTAATGCCATTTACATTGGGAATTATAGAGTTAATGAATTATGGGGAAAAAAAAACCTTATAATTTAAAATAGAAATTAAAGAAGGGATTCATTCTCTTCAATGTTTCTTGCTTGATGGCAATCTCCAATCTGCTGGGTCTGCTTCTTCGATATTGAAGCCTGCTAATATCTATCTATCTATCTATCTGTATCTATTTATCTGTCTATCTATCTGTCTCTATTTATCTGTCTATCTATCTGTATCTATTTATCTATCAATCTATCTGTATCTATCTATCTATCTATCTGTATCTATCTATCTATCTATCTATCTACCTATGTATCTATCTATCTATCTATCTATCTATCTATCTATCTGTCTGTCTGTCTATCTATCTATCTGTATCTATCTATCTATCTCTCTGTCTATCTACTGTCTATCTATCTATCTGTCTATCTATCTATCTATCTATCTATCTATCTCTCTGTCTATCTACTGTCTATCTATCTATCTGTATCTATCTATCTATCTATCTATCTATCTATCTATCCATCTGTATCTATTTATCTGTCTATCTGTCTATCTATGTGTGATGTAGATGTATACTTGAGTACTTGTAGGCCACTTTTATTTATAAATTGGACCATTCTCTATCTTGTTCCTGTTCTCTCTCTGTAGGATGGAGTCCAGCATCTCGAAGCCCCGTATACTACTTGCACTGTCAATGGATCTGATATTCCAGTTTCTAATTTGTATGCTGAATACAACAGCTCCTATTCTATCCAGGTACTTATTTTTATACTGATCTATCCAGGTACTCTGTGTAATGTTAAAGATAGACCCTTCTCTGGGACATCTTGAGACTTCAGTCTGAAGATGCAAAAAAGTGCACACGATCATTGCATCAATTACTATGTTGCAAAGAGTTTGTGAATGTGCCGTAGTGATAAAACTGGCCGATAAGCACTCTGCATTCTTTTTTTTTTGACATTCTTTATTTAAGTTTTTCAATATTCAATCACAGCATGTATATCCAATATAAATTAACATGTGGTAACATATAAACTGGTCAGTTATGTGTATTACAGCATCAAGATAGTTTCATCTACTGGATAATAAATTGTATTTGAGTATTTGGCTTCATTATAACAGTGAGCGTTCTTTTGTGTTGTGTTCTGTCGTTAGCCCTGTATGGGGTTAATCCCCTCTGTGGTCGGGTGCGAATGGAGTTTGTGGTTGCTCCTCAAGATTCGTGTGAGTTTTCGGGTGGGTTGTTTCAACCGCTCTGTGTTGTGCTCGTGGGTCAGAGGGGGAGTTGTACAACCCTGCATTGGTATCTGAGCTTCCTCATTTGTAGGTAGGACCCTAATAGAGAGGTTGGCTCAGTGCAAGGTTTCCCCTCACTTACTTATTGGGTCTAGTGTGACCTATGGTACTTAAGAGGTGTGGTAGTCTCCGTCTATGTGTGGTGCAGTTCATCTTTGTCCCCAGCCTCGTACATGGTGCTTTGTTCGTGTTTCTAGTGCCAGGTTGATGGATATAGAGCTTTGTCCCAATCCGTGTTATGTCTGTCTACGTGTGTCCTTCTTTGGGGGGGTACCGTCTGGGGCTTTGTATGGGGGTCCAGTCTGGTTCGTGTTTGATTTGTGTGTTGGTTTAGGTCGTAATGAGCCTGGTGTGGATGGGCTCAGCCTTAAATCATGAGGGGGCCAATTATTTTGCCCCTGTGACCGTGTAGTTACCCCCTAGTTTCCCTGAGTCGATCTGTTTTAGGTTTTCCCTGGGGGTAGTTGACCTGGGTTGTCCGTAGGCGCAGCTAGTATATGTAGGGTTATCCTGTGATGTCTTGTTCTGTCGTTGTGCGGTGTGTGGGGTCTGTGTCAGATGCCGTGTCGTCACCTCAGGCCCCTGGTTTGAGTCGCTCGTGTGGTGGGTGTGATCATATCATCCCTGGGGCATGTAGCACGGTCCCCGTGACTCTTCTGGATACCTAATTCTAGGTTGTTATCTCTTATCTTGGGTCTCGCTGGGTTCGGTGTGTGTGTGGGGTTATGTATGCCACCTGCGGCAGCCCCAGTTGTTAGTTGGCGTGGTCAGGGCCGGGTGCTACTGGCTCCGGTCGTGGCTTCTTGTGTCTGGGGTGGGGGTGAGTCCATGTTCCTTGCGTCCCGGTCTCTCTCTTCCCTCCGTCCCCTAGTGTATTGGTCCATATGTCGCTCTAGCGGGTCACTCCTCCCCTCCCGTGACCCATGGTCCTTCGTCTCTGTCTCTGCTTACTCATAGATTCCGCTTTGTGCGGAGCCTTAAGTCGGTCTGCGTGCCCCCGGGGGTTGTGTCCCTCCGGGTCTTTTGTGTGTCTATGTGTCATGTGGTTGGAGGGGTGGGGGGTCGCGTAGGAAGTGTGTCTCCGTCGTGCTGAGGGTGCAATCTACTCGTCTGGCACTGCCTGTGTCTGTGCAGAGCTCTGTTGGGTGGGTTGTGTTGGTGCGGGGGCGCCGTCCCTCTCCACCGGGTCTCATCCTCCCGTCCGTTTTGATGTGTAGTCCATCCATGGGTACCACGCCAAAGCGCATTTTTCCTGGCGTCCCTGCAGGGAGGCTGTCATCATCTCCATGTTATATATCATCTCCACCCTATCTACCCATTGTTGCAGGGTTGGAATTGTCGAGCTTTTCCAATGGAGTGGGATGAGCGACTTCGCTGCCGTGAGTAGGTGTATGAGGATTCCTTTCTTGTAGATCTTCACCGGCGTACGCGTGTGGTTGAGAAGCAGTGGCATGGGTTGGAATGGGACGTCTGAGCCCGTGATGTCTTTGGTCGTCTGATGTATCATCCTCCAGAACGGTTCGATACGTGGGCATGTCCACCAGATGTGAATGCTGGTTCCTATTCCTGTGCCGCATCTCCAACATTCGTTTGAAATTGACTCATGCACGTGCTGCAGGATATCTGGAGCACTCTGCATTCTGTAGCCTGGCCAGCCCGAGTTGTTAATTTTCAGTTTGGCAAAGTGTGTAAAATTTGATCTATAAGAGATCTCTTTAATGAAGGTGGATTTAAAAGAGCAGATGAGAATATATTCAGTTACCATTCTCTCAGTTTCTTCTGTGCCCTAAATGTACCCATGGCTTCTCTCCAAAATGTATTGCTCGTCCAGATGTTCTGTGCTAGCCTGGGTCTGCCATCAGTACATCATGACTCCCATCCAACAAATAAGAACATTGATTTAAAAGCCAAGCTTACTTAATAGCATTTTTTTTTAAAGGTAAAGAACATGTGGACAATGGACAGTGCTAGCAATAAATATGGCTGCTTGCAGCACCCTGCACATCTTTATTAAAAAAACAAAAAACAAAATAAGGGGCAGTCGACATATGAGCAAAAAAAATGTTTTATTAAAATAAAAACACACCCACAATTATTATATATATATATATTTTTTTAGGAAGACTTTGCCGCTTTTAAAACTGTTCTCAGTCTACTAGTCTATGTTTTAGATTTTTATATTGTTTTTTATTTATTTGGCTTCCTCTTTTTTTATTTTAATTATCTATTTTATAATGATACATTATGTTCTGTTTTAAGCAAAAGAACATCTTATCATGTTATGTAATCAGGTCTCAGTTGAATCAGAAGTGTAATACTATACGGGGACTAAGCAAATTGTTCCAAAATCCTGGCATTTGGCATTCACGGCTGACCGGCGGAAGCCATGACCATGAAATATTACAAAGCAGGTTTGATCGAGAAAATTTTGAACAGCTCAATAATCTCAGGCTTTTGCCAGTAGCAGTTGAAAGTCCTTTTTGTTTTGCATTAACCCCTTAAGGACACAACTTCTGGAATAAAAGGGAACCACGACGGAATATTTCCGTCATGTGTCCTTAAGAGGTTAAACAGTACATGTTACTGTTGCATTAAGCAGTACATCTTATTTTAACTTAGTGTATTTTACTTGTTCCCATTTCACAAATCTCATTGAATCACATAGATTACGTTAGAATTTGTGCTCATTTTACACAATATTCATTCCAATTATGCAGTGTTATAAAAACTCCTTTAAAAAAGTCAGGGGAGATTTATCAAAGTTTTGCGTCTTGGACAGAGGTTCAACGATATGAATGGGGAAGAGTCATCAATGCTCTGTTCCTTTGTTACCTTGCACCATTTTTCAGATGACACTAATCTGATCAATTTTGACTGACGTCCTCATTTCTTAGGTCTACCTCAAATTAAATCGTTTATGATGTGGACCCAAGTTATAAACATGGTATTAATTCAATCACCCATTCTTCAATGATAACATTATCTCAGTGACTTATTCTACAATCGTAATAGAATATCAGTACTAATTATGTTAATTAAGGTTAGTTATGTAAAATACCTTTATTAGACTCTTCTAAGTCTGAAAAGAGGTCTCCGTTGCACTAGAAAATGTAGATCCTCTACCAGTCCTAGAGCAATCAGGTTTTCTTTAATAATATATTTCATTTCCAGCAAGTGGGAATGTGAAACATTTTCATGGGACCTAATTCTGGGTCCGGATTCAAGAGTTTAAAACCATTGTATTAAACACTGTTTCTCCCAACATCATTACGTTAATGAAACAATACACTTTAAAATAAGTGGTTTTATTTAATAATATTAGTATTTAAAAACAGTGCTGTATTTTGTTTTTCCATTTTGTTTTCAGATTGTTCAATATGACATTCAAAATATATTCTTGTGTGGGTTAAAGAGAAAATAATTAGACAAACACTCCAAGCACAAAAAACAACTTTAGCTTAATGAAGTGGTGTTGGTGCATTGACCATGCCCTGCAGTCTCACTGCTCAATTCTCTTCCACTTAGGAGATAAATTACCTTTGTTTCTATTTATGCAGCCCTAGCCACACCCTCCCCGGCTGTGACTCACAGTTGTTTTATTTTCAATCAGATCTTACAGCACAGTGTGTTTACTTGATGAGTACTTATCTCCTGCTCTGTTAGTTTATCTTTAATCACACAAGGCTGTAGGCTCTGGCAGGCAATTAACAGGACAGGAGTTGAGAAATCCTAACTGAGCAGTAGCGACATTCGGCAGGTAAGAAATCAAACCATTCTAAAATGGTTTGAGTCTTTACAATGGTGGGCGCCAGAGCACTCCTGACACTATAACTACTACATAACCTATGATGATGGTGCTTGGAGCCTTCCTTTAAAACTCCACTTTTGACCCTTCCACTCAAATGTTCATTTTGGCCTGTCAGCTACATGTAAGTTACGAATATTTGACTTTTTTTCCCCCAGCATAATATGTTTGGCATTTGTTTCAGTGTTATGTCTTCTCTAAGAACCTAATATAAAAGTTTTCGCAACACACTAAACAGCTATTATGAGGTTGTCAATGAATTGTCATTGAGAATCTCGTAATAGCTCTTTGGTGTGTTGCAAAAACTTAATTAAAAAAAAAGACACAATAGAAGACTTCTGTAAGGCCACAGGGGAGCTGGTTAAGAACAAAATGTACATAAATCCTGAAGCAGAACCACACGGCATCTGTGGCCAAAAAATGTAAATTAAGTGTTTAAACTTGGCAAGTATCCTTGTGTTTGCCTGGGTAATGATTCTGTTTCAGCAAACTTACTATGCTACAATAGCATTGATATCGATACTGGTGACTGGATTATATCTAGGTAAATATTGAAAAAAGTTAAAGAAACCAAGTCCAAAGACTTTTCGATAAATGCTTACATTCCAAGGGTGCATCTCTGTTTTTGAAAGGATTTAAAGGGGAACTGTCACATACTGGGATTTTTAATATTACATTTACTATCAATAAAACAGATTTATGATTATGAGGCGTGGAAAATAAAATGAAATGAAGAGATCCACACTCTTGTATTGACCCAAATCCTGGCACTGTGTGCCTCCATCTTGACTCCCTGTGACTAATTGTTATAAAAATTGTTATAAACTTTTCTATTACTGTAACCATAAAGAATGGCACATCTGAAGTTAAAATGGTGCTTTTAAACACTATCATTTTTGTTTTAAATACTACCTAAAAGGCTAAAATACAACCTAAAAACACACATACATACATAAATGTTCAAAACATCTACACATTTAAGAGTAACACATAAAAAAAATCACAGATTATGATGAAAAGAAGGAAAGGGAAAACTAACCTTTAATTGTTTAACCCCTTAAGGACCAAACGTCTGGAATAAAAGGGAATCATGACATGTCACACATGTCGTGTCTTTAAGGGGTTAAAGGAACACTATAGTCACCTAAATTACTTTAGCTAAATAAAGCAGTTTTGGTGTATAGATCATTCCCCTGCAATTTCACTGCTCAATTCACTGTCATTTAGGAGTGAAATCACTTTGTTTCTGTTTATGCAGCCCTAGCCACACCTCCCCTGGCTATGATTGACAGAGCCTGCATGAAAAAAAAAACTGGTTTCACTTTCAAACAGATGTAATTTACCTTAAATAATTGTATCTCAATCTCTAAATTGAACTTTAATCACATACAGGAGCCTCTTGCAGGGTCTAGCAAGCTATTAACATAGCAGGGGATAAGAAAATCTTAATTAAACAAAACTTGCAATAAAGAAAGCCTAAATAGGGCTCTCTTTACAGGAAGTGTTTATGGAAGGCTGTGCAAGTCACATGCAGGGAGGTGTGACTAGGGTTCATAAACAAAGGGATTTAACTCCTAAATGGCAGAGGATTGAGCAGTGAGGCTGCAGGGGCATGTTATATACACCAAAACTGCTTCATTAAGCTAAAGTTGTTCAGGTGACTATAGTGTCCCTTTAAACATGCATCAGTTTCCATCTTAATGCAACTTGGTTTTTTTTTTAGCTGTAATTAATAGATAGATAATTCAAACTTTATCTTATCCTCCAAGAGAGAGGTCATGAACAAAACTAAAAGTGGCATATCAACATCATAAATAATCTAGATATAAATTCTAATTTGACACCAATAAGATATTAGGAGGGGGCATGAGCTCTATATATACATATACAGTATAAGGTGGGTTTACAGATACAACATCATCACAGCAACTTTCCCCAGTTTCACAAGGATCACATGGCCCCTATATATTAACTTTCTGAGATTCTATATATGGTCATTACAGATAGTAACATTCTTCTTGTCAGTCTATTATCAGAGCCGTATTTATATTGCCCAGGATGTTATACTGGGGCTCCATCATAGAGCCCTGAGTTCTGTTTCTGTATGCGATGGCTTATTGTATGTGTGTGTGGGAGTGTATGTAGTAGCAGGCTGTAGTCACTATGATGGTTGGAGTAACCATTTAAAGCCCAATGATATCTCATGCTCTCATCACATTTCAGCTCCTGAAGACCCAATGCCAGTATGGAGATTCCTGCTTATTTGCCATTTGCAGTCTTGCAACTGTTCAGTGAGTGGGACAATCCGTTTTCTGAAATATCATTTTTAGCTGCTGGATTGTTGTGGCAGATCTATGCTTTCATTGGTCCTTAAAGGGACACCCCAAGCAAAATAATCACCATAGCACACAGTTTGACTTCTTACCTGGGTTACACAGGGTGTCCTTCCATACCTCCATTACCATCTCCTGAGAGTCGAACGTTCCTTAGCCGGAACTTCTGTTAGCTCTCCTTAGCTAAGTCCTGCAATGCTCAGGAGAGGTAACATAAGTTCCTACTGAGGAACATCTGGCTCCTGGGAGATAGTAGTGGAAGTATGGAGCGGAACCGGCCCAGGAAAGGAGTTTAGAAAATTGAAGAGGGCAGGGTGCTTGGACAGTCCTATTAAAGGAATATGTAGGTTTCGAATTAATGATTGGGTGACTGTATAGACATTAGCTGGTTATGAGAATGTTTTATTTTAGAGGAGATCCCACTGGTGTTACACGCCTTTTACCATCTTCCATAGAGCGTGGCTGCCAGGAATTGCTTTAGTTTTGCAGAAATATTTCCCCCCCAAAGTTTTAATTATTCAATAAGAAAGAATAAAAGTATTGAATTGCCTATAATATACTGACCGTCCATTTGTGAAGGACTGCCAATAAATAAGACATTTTCTATTATATGCAGTCATGTCTCCGATCCTGTTTTCAAGAACAAATGGTGAAAAAATGCCAATGTGCCTATTACTTGTACCCACTACCGTCAGGATATAAATACTGCAACAACGAGGAGTATATTGACTGGGGTAGGTATCCACGGCTAAATTCAATGATAGAGTATTTGTTCCACTTATGCAGTAAATGCTTTTGTCAAACAGAGTGTATGTATATTCAATAAACTTCATCAGCCTTCAAGGAAGGCTATTTTTTGTTTTTGCCACTCATATAGAGTCTACCTAAGATGCCCATGCACTAGGACCTTTTGCCAAGTCAACATTTCAGCCTGTCTTTCAGAAGGTTCCTTAGCCCAATTTTCATTTTGACATGGTTTCTTTTTTTCTTAGTGCCTTGTTATTACGAATTGAGGGATTCCGTGGCTGACAGAGAGATTTGTATTAGTTATTGCCAGCAGCCATGCAAGTAAGTAGACAAAACAGGCCCCATAGTGGGTTTCCAGTTAAATAATCAATAAAGTATGCAAGTGTTACTATTGTCAAGGATCACAGAATTTTTTATACTGAGACCTTTTTAATTAATCTTTTTAATTAAATGTTTCCTATTATTACACGCCTGTTTGGGTTTCCGAGACATTCATTTTCTCTCTCACCTAGCATGCTATCCAATTTCCTTTTCTGCATATATAAATGTATGTTTCTATGAGTTGCCTTAGGTTTTCAATTGTGTGCTATCCTGATCTTGGCTTGTTTGTCACTTGGTAATATGTGCTGACCCATTCTGACCTTTACTTTTTCAACATTTGCTCCTCCTGATCTTGGCATCTTTACAATTAGATAGCATTTGCCTCCTCTCCTGATCTGGGCTTGTTCCTTATTTGAGAACCTTTGCTTTCAATCATGATCGCTAGATCACCATCTCAGAACCTATGTTGGATATCTGCAATCTCCACACTGACCTTGGCTTGTTTATCATTTCAAATTGTCCAGTGTGATGTGGACTTGTTAGCCACATGAGAAACTGTGGCTCCTCTCCTGATCTATGCTTGTTTACCATATTAAGAACCTCTGGTTCCCCTCCTGACCTTGCATCGTTTATCATATGAGAACTTGTTCTGCCCATCCTGACCTTGACTTGCTGAACAATGTGTTCTCTATTTCTCCTTCTAGGCTTGTTTATTACCAAAATTATCCTTGCAAATATATTTGATAATTCCTTGGAATAATACACATTATCTTCTTTTGTTTGTCTTAGTGATACTCAGTATAAAATGACCATATCCATGGCTGACTGGCCATCTACAGCAGCAATGGTAAGTGCACAGTCCACATGGGTACAAGGGTCATAAAAGGAGTTCAGTATTTAAGGAGTTTAGTATATTGTATCAGTAGAATTATTTAGTAAATGAGGGCTGCCTCTCACTGCTGTGAAAAATCCCAGCCTTAGATTATCTCTTTCAATAGACAGAAAGATACTTATCTAATTAATTTAGCCTTCCATGCTCAGTATTTGTTGGTGGTACTTCTACCTGATGGTGGTGTTACCTATAAAGAAATATTGAGCTCCAAAACCCCTGAAAACAATCATGAATTTAAAGACACAAAATCAAGTCCTGCACTCAAATTCCCATTACTCTTAGGGCGGCAGCAACGCCCATAGTGCACATTAGCCGCAATACATACAGTAAAAACCAAAGGAAAAAAAAAGTGTTCCCTATTAAGGGTTAATACGCATGTGGGGTTTAGAAAATACCCCTCTCTGTCTCATTAGAGATCTCTTTGCCAGAAGTTCAAGGAAGCAAGGTGAAAGGTTCGTGTAAGACCCACCTAAGTGGTTTGCTTTGACGTGACAGGTGGGCTAAACTCTCTCATGGCCATTGGAGAAACTAAATAACCTCCATTTGATTAAATATGCATAGGGAGTTGGGAAGAGCGCAGGTAACTTTTTAATTTGGCTTTTACTGTACAAATTTAAGGACGTCTGACAACAATTATATTCCTAATTTCTTTCCTTCAGGATTGGATTTATCATGTCCTGTCTTTTGAAAAAGATTCCAGCACTGTCATCACTGTTAATCGGTAAGGTCTTAACGGATATATTTTCATGTGACATTGATTTTATCGAAGGAGCCTGTCATCTGTAATGGCTGGTTTTAAGCTGAAGGGTCTCTCCTCCTAGTGATTCTGCCGACATTAGGAGAGACAACAAAGTGTGGCAACATTCTAGACGTGAAACAGTCATCATGGAAACCAGTGGATGATTTACCTGGTTTTGATGATGAATACGGGCTATCTTACCCCATTTTCTATTTCCTAAATCTCCCCCATGATATTATGATTGCTGAAATAAGATTTGTACCAACAAATATCTTACTGTACATTTTGTATGTAATCTCGTTAAACCTTTTCGCTTTAGTGTGGGTGGATGTGACTGTCTGTAGAGAGTGGAGAAATCGATTTGAGACAGAGCTGTTAATACTAGGTCAAAACAATCACAAATAGATTACTACTTCAGTTGAATAGAAATTCTCAGAAATCTACTCAACGACTTAAAAAACCTGCTAGGATTAGAGATGTCGCGGACCGTCCGCGAACATCTCGCGAACGGTTCGCCACGAGCTGTTCGTGGCGAACTCCGGTCAGCTGACACGTCCCGGCCAATCTCCAGCAGACCATCCTACTTCAGCTGACCGGAGTTCGCCGCGAACAGCTCGTGGCGAACCGTTCGCGAGATGTTCGCGGACGGTTCGCGACATATCTAGCTAGGATATATTATAATAATAAATAAATAAAGTCTGTTATTTATAGAAGCCCGCAGATTTTAACAGTCCTAATCATCATCTCTTTTTTTTTTTTATCCCATATGTTTCAGAAACGGCATCATGAGATTGAACATTTACTTTCAGGAGTTTAACTATCGGAGCATTGCAGAGTCTGCTAGCACCAATGTGAGTTCCTCGTGGGCGGAGTCTTGGATTACAATTACAGTAAAAATGCTTTGGTATAAAAGTGAGAAGAACAATGAAAACCCACAATAAATTGGATATGTTAAAGAAAGAATTGTGCTAAAATGACTACAAAAGTGAAAAATGGAAAGGGTGTAGATTTTTCTCCCTTTTTACTGCTAAGCAAGAATTCTGCAATTTAGTTTTCAGTTTATCACAATTCATTACATAGCAAATCAATCACTCAATCAACCAACCTTTTCATTACATAAGCTTGTACATTGTTTTTGATGCTAACATTCCCTTCACATTGTATCCTCTATGAAAGATGACATAGTTGCACTTTAAAGTGTTTTTTGTTTGTTTTGTTAATGACCTGTACAGAATACTGGTACTTTTTATTTATTTTTTAATCAGACACATTTATTAGCTAACCCCAGGACTGTAGTGAACTGAGAACCTAAATTGTCAAATTTAAAAGGACACTGTAGGCACCCACACCACTTCAGCATATTAAAGTGGTCTGGGTGCAAACTCCCATCACCCTTTACCCTAGAGTGGTAATTAATTATTGCACTTTTTATAAACTGTAATAATTATCTGCTAGGGTTAACTCCTCCTCTAGTGGCTGTCTACAAGATAGCAACTAGAGGGACTCCCTGGCTTGAAGGCGACTTTTAATCACCTAAACGACGCTGGATGTCCTCACGCTATGCATGAGAACTTTCAGCGTCTCCGGAATAACCATAGGACAGCATTGAATAATGCTTTCCTATGGGGAAATCGTAATGCGAGCGTGGTCATTGCTGTGCATGTAGCTGTAGGCATTCTAAATGCCCCACTTTTGGAAGGGCTTCCGCAGTGCTCTCTGCATGGTCCTGTAAATTGGGTGCTGGCCAGACAGGCTGTCTGATGTCAGGCTGGCACACGTTCACTTTCCAGGCAGGCTTGACAATTGTGAGTTGAGCCAGTGGCACAAGTTGACTCATTGGCAATGCCTCCCCAGACAACATCCACCTGTCCCTATTCCATACCTCCCAATATTGGGTGGCATGCAGTTTCCAGGGGCTTGGTGAATTTTAAATGCTGTTCCTACCAATGAGGATATGCTAAAATAGCAGAGGGATCCAATTTTGGGTCCTGACATAGGGATTAAGAACCACTTATAGTGTAAAGGTAGCTTTATTAAGAGTTGCAATGGGTGAGTAGCACTTGACCGTGTTTGGACTCCAATCATCCAATATCTTCTTTTTTTCTGAAGGTGGTTTGGCTACTATCAAATCTGGGAGGACAATTTGGTTTCTGGATGGGTGGTTCCGTCTTGTGCATCATCGAGTTTGGAGAGATTATTATTGATTGCATCTGGATCACTATACTCAAACTCCTGGCATGGCAGAAAGACAGGAAACAAAGGAGAAGACGACCTGATTATTCTGATCCTCCTCCAACTATATCTGAGCTGGTGGAAAGTTACACAAATCCCGCATTCGTAAGTGAGGACAATGGCGAAATACACATGGACATGCCAGGCACTCCAGGAATACCTGGAACTCCTCCTCCACACTATGACTCTCTACGAGTGCAATCATTCGATGTTATTGAACCTCTATCCAGTGACGAAGAGATGGACAATTAAAACATTAACTCCTATTATTTCAAATGAAAAACATTAGTAACCCGTCAATCAAGCAATATCTACGTAATCAGAATTAAAGTAGATCAGATGTTAATAATGTATTTATCACAGGGTTTTATCATAAGGGAGGTGAAATTTAATCTATCTGGTATGGCCAAAACCAGTGTCCAGGAAGAGAACACCCTAGGAATTAAGGTTACATAACTGTGACACTTTATTATCATTCCAATGAAAACATTATTAAGCATATGAATAGTATATGGACTGAATAGATTGTAATTATAGGAAACACTGTTTAGTTATGTGGTGTTAAATTTTGTTTCATTCATGGGATTTTATTGTGCTTGTATTAAATTGCGCATTACTTATTTTTTCAGGATGTGTCTGGTAAAACATTGTTTAAGGCAAGCATGTCAAACTCGTGGCCCACAATGGACATCTTTGCGGCCTGGCGAGCCGCGAGTGCATGCTTGGTGTTAAAGCAGAGTAGGCATCTGCTTTCTCCACATTGCAGGTGCCTGCTCTGCTAAAATTTACCTGGCCGGGGAGAAGAGGAAGGTGGATGCAGCGAGGGAGCTCAGCCATCCTGCTCCCCACTGCTCCCTCGCGCAACCTTCTGTAGTGATGCTGGAGATCTCCAGATAGAAGAGGGCCCACACCAGCTCCCAAATGTAGGGAGCAATAGATAAAATTATGTGAGTGCAAGAATGTGTAAATGTGTGTGTGTGTGTGTCTGTCAGTGACTATGTGTGTGTCAGTGAGTGTATCTGTGTGTCTGTCAGTGAGTGTCTGTGTGTGTGTCTGTCAGTGAGTGTGTGTGTGTGCGTGTGTCTGTCTGTCTGTCTGTCTGAGTGTGTGTGTGTGGGTTGGTCAGTGTTGCATTGGCTGCGACTGGACAGTGGAATACCTGGAGGTGCATGGAGGCACGCAACGCCACGTAACATTCCGACATGACATTGACGTGCTCCACTTTCATAGGTTTTCAAGAAGTAGCGGGAGGATCAGATTTGGTACAGGGTGCAAAAGGCGCCATTTGGGGTATACCAGGGGCCAGACTCTGGAGTCGCATACTGGCAGCGGCAATGTGAGTGGAGTCTGCTTGATGGCAAGAGGAGGGCACTGGGATTTAGTATATGGGGGGGGACTGGAATTTAATAGAGGGGGGTGCTGTAGTTTAGTAGAGGGGGATGCAGTTTTTCTTTTTTTTTATACTGTACTTTTCAAAATAAACCTAAGTGTCTATGAAAATTTAAGGGTTGTTGTTTTTGCGGCCCACATAAATCTTGTTTATGTGGCCCATGCTAGACTTTGAGTTTGACATGGTTGTATTACACAATGAACAAGGATAACGTATACCAGACCATAGAATGGTCGGACTTAACGTAAATAAAGAATGGTCAAAATACTAGCCGAGGTCAAGGACACAGAAAGAGACACAACGAGGAAACAAGCCAAAAGTCAAGGATACCAGAAAAACAGGGAAGTCAAAGTCAAATGCCAAAAAGAACTCGAATAGGAACGCACTCTCTGTTAACCATCTAGTGGAAACCACGACAGGGCACTGACCAAATGCTATTTTGAGTTTAAATAACCGTCCTAAGGCTATGATTGGTTGTACATAGCCTTTGACCCCAAAACGTGGGTGCATGTCGTTTTCGTGACATCACATGCATGTTGACGCCATCTTTGTTGAGGATGGAGGCGGGACTACATAGTTGCTTGGGACCACAGCGACCAGCGTTCATTAGAACACCGCACCGGTCGGGGATCGCTCCACGAGGGTGCTGAATGGCAAGCTGATTTGCCTTAGGTAAGTTTTTACTATTTTTAACAAGGTGAATGCATCACGCTGTAGGAGGCGCGGGGGATGTTACAATTACATACTTCTTGGCACTAACAGCTTCTTGCTTAGTTTATTAGCTTGTTTCTGCAGAAAATATACTGTCACCACAGCTCCATGTCTAATTTGTTTCTCTTCTGATGACTCAAAGGTAGGCAGACAATGTAATGAGCAGCAGGAAATGCTAGCAGAATGCTTGGTTGTATAGGGAGAGGTATTAGCAGTAGAAAGAGGGAAGTGCTCATGTCATTGTACAGAACACTGGTGAGACCTCACTTGGAGTATTGTACACAGTACTGGAGACCGTATCTTCAGAAGGATATTGATACCTTAGAGAGGGTTCAGAGAAGGGCTACTAAACTGGTTCATGGATTGCGGGATAAAACTTACCAGGAAAGGTTAAAGGATCTTAACATGTATAGCTTGGAGGAAAGACGAGACAGGGGGGATATGATAGAAACATTTAAATATATAAAGGGAATCAACACAGTAAAGGAGGAGACTATATTTAAAAGAAGAAAAACTACCACAACAAGAGGACATAGTCTTAAATTAGAGGGACAAAGGTTTAAAAATAATATCAGGAAGTATTACTTTACTGAGAGGGTAGTGGATGCATGGAATAGCCTTCCAGCTGAAGTGGTAGAGGTTAACACAGTAAAGGAGTTTAAGCATGCGTGGGATAGGCATAAGGCTATCCTAACTATAAGATAAGGCCAGGGACTAATGAAAGTATTTAGAAAATTGGGCGGACTAGATGGGCCGAATGGTTCTTATCTGCCGTCACATTCGATGTTTCTATGTTCTCACTGAGCACACCCACTTCTTCATATCTTGTACCATATGCCTTGCTAGCACATGGTTAGACCTCCTCTTGTCCTACTATTAGGCAATGCATATTCAGCTGGATATTATGCTCCAAAATGTTCGGTTTATTTGAATGCCATGTTCATGTTATGACAATTTTTTACTTGCAGTGCTTGCTGGAGGTGGTGTGGCTTTCTTTGTAAGCATGTTTGTTCTCTTACACCTTTTTCTTTTCTTTTAGTTTTTTTTTTTTTGTTTTGTTAAAAGAGGCATGATTGATCTAACTGTGATCTTGACATACCCATTCCTGACATACCGTAATATTTACTATAGTACTGAATACTATATCTCTGCCTCAATAAAAACAGAGAATGACCAAAAAATGTTTTTGAAATTTTATTATGTAGAAAAGTGATCCTTCTTTGATTAAGGCCATCTTCCAAAACTCTGATAAATCTGCTGGAATGTTATAATGTAAGCCTAAGGGCAGGGCTTTCTCTATTCTGTGCCAGTATGTTGAATTATAGATTGTTCTGTCTGTATCACCTTGTCCATGCACAATATACTATATCCTGCATAAGTGGACTGTATAAAAAAGTTGAAACAAAAAAAAAAAGGTCAACTATAATAAAATGGATGGTTATGAGACTTTCTTAGAATTATATTGTATTTAACAAAAAAAACCCCCAAAAAACGGCTTGGCAGGAATGTTTATTTGCGTTACATACATTCCTGAAGCTCTGAAGTTGATACAGGCAAGCAATGGGAGTGTATTGCTATGGCCATTATCTAATATTACAAGTTTTTAGAATGAAAAGTATTTTTTAAACCGTGCACTTTGTCTTTAAGAGATTTTGCAAACTGAAAGGTTGATAGAAACTGAACATGTTTTTTTCCATACAATGTTTCTTTAATAAATGACCTCTTACCCATATTCAATGAATATAGTGTTCAGACTTTAAGACATCTTGTCCCAAGATAGTGGAATTCTCCATTCAGAGAATTTCCCATGTCATGTCCTACCTTAAAGGGAAACTCCAGGCAGCTAAACAAGTTAAGCTTAAGTTAAAGCTAATAAACTCAAAATACTTCTGATTAGTTTCTCTTCTTTAAATTCTTTGTAGTTTTCCTACAGTGCTGTAAAATGTTTTTCTGTTTTCCAGCCTGCTTAGCCATACCCCTCTGACAATACAACATGTTCCTGATTCCCAGTCTCTGAAAGAAACGTACCTTTTGCAGCCAATAAAAATAGAGTCTTTCCTCATCTAGTGTAAGGAATGCTCACAGCACAGACTGCATTGCAGCTAGAGCTCATATGTGCTCCTCTCCTCCAGCCCCTGCCAGTCAACCTCCCTACCCAGGGATGTATCTATCTTAAAAGAAAACACCTTGCTTCCAAGACTATTTTACATTGTATTCTCAGTTATTTATATATTTTAAATAGAGGATCTCTTACTAACTATGTAATATTATAGCCAAGATATCTGTACGGTTAGCCCTGCGGAATTCTATGCTTTAAGACAGTTGTTCCAACCCAGTCCTCAAGTACCCACTACCAGTCCAGGATTTAGAGATATCCCAGTTGTGTCTAATGTGTTTTTAGAACAAAACACTTTAGACACAACAGGGTAACCCCAAAATCCTGGACTGGTAGGGGGTACTTGAGGACTGGGTTGGAAACCCCTGTTTTAAAACGTTAAAGTGGTAAGTAGTGGAACCGGCTGCGGTTGCAGTATAAGCCTTTAGCATGTATAGTTTATTCATAGTCAGAATTGAAGCGACCCTCTAGAGTTATTGTACTTTTTTTATTATTACATAGAGAATGCACTTACAGATGCATTTAAAATATATAAAGGGAAATCTCGATATTTACTTACTAACATTTCTGAAGAAAAAACAGCAAGACAGAATGTGTACCTAACGCCACCGCAAAGCAGATAAAGAATAAGACGCTAAACACTGCACACTTTGAAGTAGATTTACTGAGGGCCATGCTTGGAGGTACCCCAAAATCTCCATTAAATATTCCGTAAGATGAGCCCAAGTCTGAAATCATTGCTAGCTGGCCTCTGCAGGGTTCCTTCAAAGAATGTGTAGTAATCTCTGTAGTGGCCACGCTTTAAGTTATTACTGAACATCTGCAGATTGTGTTATTGTGAAACTGCACATGATCTTTTTTTCCTCTAAAATACCGGTATTTCTTTGCAAGGGTGAAGTTCGCATTGCTGCGACAGAAATGCTATACTTGGTTACTGCGTACAGTTTCTTGTACAAAAGGCACTAGCGAAAAACAAATCGTCTTCCAGCTTTCAAAAGAAATGCGCAGTAGATTCGATGGCGCATTAAATTCGAGTAAATACGGTATTTCCTAATGAAATGAGCTGCTCGTATACTTACAATGCCATCCAGGAAGTGACTGAGATCCCTGGACCGCTAGTTTGCTTGAATGGGCAAGTTTACGAGTGTCTGCATGTGTAACATATCACAAGCGGACATGCTCCCTATTGTCTAGCCATGAGCAATAAAGATGCTGTATGGGTGTACCCTCCTTTTAATGAGAAACAATTCAAGAAAACTATTTGTCACGAACTGCTTCTGTAACCCAGCGCCAGAAGTTTTCATTTCTTTACTTTTATTGGATAAAGTATCGAACAAAAGAGGATGGCACACGCTGATTGCCGGCTGTAGATTTCTATTAAGGAAACGTACACTTTGCTGTTGGAATGTTTTCCTCTTCATTTTTGAAAAGGGATATACGGGGGTGGAGCAAAGGGGCACATATTTGTATCCATTTCCCCAAATGCATGAATGTACTTTATGAATATGCATTTAAAAAAATAAATCACTCCACGTACCATTAAGCACTATAGGTTTCTGCAGTGGTTATGGCGTTGGGAATGCCTTGGCCCCTCCTATTGTAATTTGTCAAACCGTTTTAGATGGTTAAACGACTTGCCCCAGCTGCACGAGTGCCAGGACTGCATCCTGTCTTTACCTGCAGGGGAAGCCAGACATCTATACTGAGTGAAACCTGGCTGATCGAAGACTGTGTCCTTACATCAGCTTTGCTATTTTTAAATTTCTGCTGTTTTCACCTAAAATTAAATTCCCTGAACATTTTTCCAGTATTTCAAAGACTATGCACTCTTAAGAATCTGTGCCAGTTGTCTCCATTGTTGTGCTTGATTAAAAGTTTTTTTTTAAATGTTTATGTAAATCGAATTAAAAAGGTGCTGGATTTTGATTTTAGTCTTCTCTTAAAACGTGGTCAGTCCATTGCATATTTTTACATAGCTGGCTTGGGATTTATTCAAGACTAAAGTGTTGCTAGCCCTGTGGATGTGACTAAGTGATATGGTGTGCCAATGTTGTAAGGCCAAGTTCCCGCAGGCATATGGCCTCATATCAAACTCTTGGCAAAGCCATTTTATACTCCGGATACATGGTAGAACATTGTCTTCTTTTCTGTTGTAAAAATCCAGACCCATAAAATGTTGTCACATCAAGTTTCCCATATGTCCGCACCAACTAGGTTAAAGGTTTGTGTAGACAGTAGTACGAGTCATGGCTGGAAGGAGACTTTATAAATTTGAAGACAAGTCACACCGGGAGGAACGTGCTGGCTGTGAAAATACTTCCATGTAATATTCTTTATGGCAAAATCATGGTTTGAATTACTCTCTGCGGGCGGTTGCTACTTAATGCTTTATGTTTTCTGATTTTACAAGTCAGTATAACACGTGTTTGTCCTCTTCTTAATATAATCATTACACAGTGTTAATGGCAATCTGTCAACATTCCAAATGCTTACATCCTAGGGCAGACATCCTGGCTTCATTTGCATAATTCAGCCTCTCCATCAACAGTGGGGGGTCTTTAAGAGCTAAAGCCACTGATGATATTATTATTATTATTGCCATTTATATAGCGCCAACGGATTCCGTAGCGCTTTACAATATTATGAGAGGGGGATTTAACTATAAATAGGACAATTACAAAAAACTTACAGGAACGATAGGTTGGAGAGGACCCTGCTCAAACAAGCTTACATTCTATAGGAGGTGGGGTGTAAAACACAATAGGACAGGAATTTGCAGTCAAATAAGGTGGGCTGCTCTTTAGGAGAGAGCAAGAGACAGGTATGTGAGGTAGAGGTTAATCTGGGAGGCCATAAGCTTTCCTAAAGAGATGGGTTTTAAGGCACTTCTTAAAGGATCACTAAAGGGTCAGGAACACAAACATGTATTCCTGACCCTATAGTGTTAAAACCACCATCTAGCCCCCCTGGGCCCCTCATGCCTCCATAAACATAGTAAAAATCTTACTGTATTCAAACTTGAAGCTGTAAATCTGCATGCTGTTAGACTCAGAAAAAACAAGCAGTCTGCTGACATGTGGTAGCCTGATCCAATCACAGTGCTTCCCCATAGGATTGGCTGAGACTGACAAAGAGGCAGATCAGGGGCAGAGCCAGCATCATTCAAACACAGCCATGGCCAATCAGCATCTCCTCATAGAGATGAATTGAATCAATGAATCTCTATGAGGAAAGTTCAGTGTCTGCATGCAGAGGGAGGAGACACTGAATCACAGGATGCTGTGCACAGTGCTGCCCTGTGCTCTGTTGACAGCAGACCTGAGTGGATGGAGGCATATTATGCCTCCGTCAAATCCGAAGTCCCTCTGGTTCACTCTGAGTGACTGCAACTGAAGGTGTTCCTAGCTTTCAATGAAAACACTGTATTTTCACAGAAAACAGTGTTTACGTGAGAGAGGCTGCAGGGAGCTATAGTTCTCACCTGAACAACCTCATTAAGCTGAAGTTGTTCAGGTGACTATAGTGTCCCTTTAAAGGATGCAAGACTAGGGGAGAGTCTGATGGCGGTAGGCAGGTTATTCCATAGGAAGGGAGCCACCCGCGAGAAGTCCTGCAAGCGTGAGTTGGCCGTATGGGTGCGGACAATGGAGAAGAGGTGGTCACGGGCAGAGTGGAGAGACCGAGAAGGGACATACCTATGGATCTGTGAAGAGATATAAGAGGGGCTAAATTTGTTCAGTGCTTTATAGGTGTGAATTAGTACCTTGAATTGACTCCTATAGCATACAGGAAGCCAATGTAAGGCCTGACAGAGGGGTGAGGTGTGAGAGAACCGACTAGATAGGAAAATCAGTCTGGCAGCAGTGTTCATTATTGACTGTAGTGGTGCAGTACGGCTTTTGGGAAGACCAATCAGGAGAGGGTTACAATAATCCATGCAGGAAATTACTAGAGCATGGACAAGCTCCTTGGTAGCATCTTGCTGTGAGACGAGGCTTGTCAGCCAGGTATCTCTTCAGACAGAGCTGGGTTGCAGCAGGATATCAATTTTTTTTTTTTTACGTTTAGTGGCTACTTTTAAAGCAGCTTGTCTTTAACAACAAGAGGGGTCACACTAGACAAATGGTGATCTTTGCATACGAGATGCTATTTTATCACGACACATATCCAGACCTTAAGCTGGATGGGGAAAGAGTGGTCAAAATGATCTTAGGAATTCTAAAGAGGATACAGTTAAAGGAACAGCACACACACAAACAAAAATACAGTTTAACAAGTCTGCTTAAAAACACCTATTTAAGCAAATTAATATGGGATTCTGTACCATAATAGAGCCATATTGTCTTAAGCCAACCACTACATCACAGCACCCCAATATCGGTGGGTCCTATACTAATTTTAACATGGGAGGTTTACATGCTAACTTGCAATACTTACTTTCATTGTGTGCGCTGTTCCTTTAACTGTACTTTCAATATGTTTTGGTCTTTACGGCAGCACCACTGCTTAGAAATCAATCTTCTGGGTGTGACCCCAATTTAAAAAAATTTCTGCATTGTAAAGACATTCACGACTTAAAGAGAACAAACGGCATCTACTTTATATTGCTATACAAGAGCCAGATATATGCCCTGTGCACCCCTGTTAACCACATTTATAGTTTTAAAAGATTCCTAAACATATTGAAATCTCTTAACCGTTCCTCACAGTAAATCAAAAACATTATCTCTTATCCGAATATAGTTACAGACTCGGAGAAAGTTAAAGAGATGAAGGAAAGATATATAAAAGGTTGTCATGTGAGCATGTGAAGTGATACTGGACCTTTAAGAAGATAAATAATTAAGAGCTCACAATAAATCAGAGTAAGGCTGACAAAGCATCATGGGAATTGTAGTTTAATTACAGCTGGTGACCTATATTATGGCCACCCCAAATTTAATACAATTGTCCAGGTGTTGCCAGGTTACAGGTAGGTCTTAGAATTTACTGCGACCCACTGGTCATATTTGGGAATGTAGCTAAACAGGTGTAGGTCGAAGGTTAGAAAAACCAGATCCGGAAATGGCGAAACCACCTTTACTTTTTGCTTTTATGAGCTGAGTGACAAGCACTTGAGAGCTCCTATTGTTAGTCTTAATGGAACATATTGACAAGCTCGTAAAAAAGGAAACGGATTGTTTAACAGAGTCTGTAACACGCCACTTTTAACCAAACCTTATGCTCCTCTGTTTGTACGCTTTTAGTTCCCTTGTATTTATGCAGACAAAAAAGAAAATCCAGATGGTTAAAAATATTCCTTCTAACAGTAAACTGTACTTTTAACATGGTTGGTCAAAGTAAATATTACTTGCTTGTTAATACGGAACTCCAGAAGGTGGCGAAACACACAGGCAGAGCAATTGTGGGTTTAATCTTTTTAATATCTGATGGTGTATGGCAAATGCAATCACCCACTATTATAGCAGACTTTCTGCAGCTAGCTGCCCTGTGGCATATTATTGGTTCCACAAGTATGGAGCGATTGTTTCGGACAAGCTGTATACAGATTAATAATCTATAGTCTCTCTCAAAACATCTAAATATCCTTTGCAGTGTAAGGTAGTTATGTACACTGATTGTGTTACCATTTTAAACTCATTGTGTGCAGACTCCAGAAAAATATCATTTTAACTGAAGGACTTGAGCTGGGGATATATCCATTCCTTATAAAATGTTATTTTCTTCAAAAAAAGTTTATTTTTCACACAGGTGTAGTGCCCTGGGAAAGTTTTTATGTCACCTATTCTTTTACCTAGATTAATGAGATTCGGATTTACCAAGATCCTTTGCGTCATTAGCATTATCAATTGAAGAATCAAACAATATATACAGTATCTCACAAAAGTTAGTACACCCCTCACATTTTTGTAACTATTTTATTATATCTTTTCATGTGACAACACTGAAGAAATGACACTCTGCTACAATGTATAACAGTGTAAACTTGCTGTCCCCTCGAAATAACTCAACACACAGCCATTAATGTCTAAACCGTTGGCAACAAAAGTGAGTACACCCCTAAGTGGAAATGTCCAAATTGGGGCCAATTAGCCATTTTCCCTCCCCCGTGTCATGTGACTCGTTAGTGTTACAAGGTCTCAGGTGTGAATGGCGGACTGGTGTGTTAAATTTGGTGTTATCGCTCTCTCATACTGGTCACTGGAAGTTCAACATGGCACCTCGTGGCAAAGAACTCTCTGAGGATCTGAAAAAAAGAATTGTTGCTCTACATAAAGATGGCCTAAGCTATCAGATGATTGCCAAGACCCTGAAACTGAACTTCAGCATGGTGGGCAAGACCATACAGCGGTTTCACAGGACAGGTTCCACTCAGAATAGGCCTCGCCATGGTCGACCAAAGAAGTTGAATGCACATGCTCAGCGTCATATCCAGAGGTTGTCTATGGGAAATAGACGTATAAGTGCTGCCAGCATAGCTGCAGAGGTTGAAGGGGTGGTGTATTCTGGTTTTGTACTGCCTTAGGCATGACAAAACTCAGGCACCTCCCCCCCTTCTAAATATCACTTACTGTTAAAAACCAACACACTCTTTGCCTAACAGACACACTGACATACAGTGACATACACTCACTGACAGATACACAGTCATTGTCACACACACTGTTTAACCAACACACACTTTGACTGAAACATACAAACTCACTGACAGACACGCACACTCACATTCACCGACAAACACATTAACTGACAGATACACATACACACATTTACTGACAAACGCACACTCACTCAGTGTCAGACACACACTGACAAACACACATAACTGACGGACACATATACACACAGTGTCAGAGACACACATTCGATAACAGACCTACACATTGACTGACAGTTACACACTCTCAGTGACAGACACGCATACACACACTGACAGACATACACATTCACTAACAGACATAAACACTCTCACTGACACACACTCTGACAGACACACACACACTAACACACACTCACTATCAGGCACACACACACACACTAACACTCTCACTAACAGGCACTAACAAAAACACTTTTTTTTAAAATTTGATTACATTTTGGTGGCTTCTTCCCTGGGGACCAGTGGGGCTGCTGCTGGCTGGGCTGGCAGGCTTGCGGGCGGGCTGGCAGGCATGCGGGCGGGCAGGCAGGCTCATAGTGGATGCGGCGAGGGAGCAGTGATCCTTCTGATCAGCTCCCTCGCGCTCCACTTAGTGATGCCGGAGTGACGTCATATTCCGGCATCACTGCAGAGCTGAGCAGGGAAGAGCTCAGAGTGCTCCCTCGCCGCCCGCCTCCCCCATCAGCCCATGCTGCCTAGCGGGGGCCCGGAGGTGGCCACTCGGCCAGTTCCTGAGCCCCTCAAGACAAGAGGCTGGCAAGAGTTGCTTGCACATACACTGGAAACTTGTAAAGGCACACTTTGTTAGAACAATGTCACTTGGAGCCGCATTAGCGAGTGCAAAAAGACAGTCCATTATTTCAACAATGATGATCGTTCTGTGTGTGATCTGGTTTGCTACAGCAAAGCTATTGGTATAAAGATTTTGGATTTGAAAATTATGGGGTGGATTCTGGCATCGGGTCACCTTGTTAGATCACTGGTGATCCCATTGGAGGGAAGGTTTGACCCTAGAACTGATGACAGTTTACTAAGTGTGGTGTGTACATTCAGTGTCATTAATTATGAAGTTCTTACAAAACATGGAATAGTCATTACAGGTTACGAAGGGGGCAGCAGCTGTGAGTTACATCGAGAAATGTAGGAAGTAATAAAATAAATTAAATTAAAAAGCGGTAGACACAAAAAGTATATTTCGTTTAATAAATGGCCCACTGTAAAATACATAGTTTTAAAGAAAGTTTTAATATTTTGTGTATGAACAAACTACAATGTGTTTAACACACTGAAGAGTAAAAACAATATACAATATCTTATTACAGCAGTTTAGGCAGTAGGTCACTCTCAGTCACTGTCTTCCATATGTCCTTGGTCAGTAGGCCGTAAGTGATCAAGATGTCTCAGGACTCTGTGGATAAATGAAACTGCAAAGAATTCCAGGTCTGAACAGCATCATGGAGAAGTTTGTTTAAAAAATGAAATTACGTTGGCTCAGTACTCAATGTTCCTCATGGCAGCCACCGAAGAAGAAAGCTTGCGGGGAATGGTCTTGGCAATCTGCCTAAAGTCTTCTGGCTTGGTTTTAAGGAGGGTAACAATGTGTTGCAGAGTCCGGGTAGGTTGTAAACCCAGGGCGTCCATCACATTAATCAGATAATCTGGAAACACATAATAAGCAAGTGTAAGATGATGCCACTGTGAAAGTTCTCATTTAAATAGTAGAAAACATCTCTTCATGAATGTGAAGTTCACCTAGGTCAGTGTTGTCTCCCGTTGATGTAGAATACTGGTTTTCCAAGTTCTTCAGTATGAGGCCAAAGTTCAGAAATCACTGATTTAAACTGCTGCAGTTTACCTGTCAGACGCAGCCCCCATCCTACATTAACACACTATAAGTTCTACTAAATGACAACAGTCCCCTAGTCCACCCCTATTAAAAGGTTGGAGAACACTGCTTGGTCCTGTCTACTCCAATCCATGTTTTTATAACACAATGGTGCCAGCAATACTTCATCCCTTCAAATGTGCCCCTTATTTATCCAGTTTCTCCCAGAGCTATCGCTAGTGTAAGTGAGCAGTATTTTTTTATTTTTACAGTAACATAATCTGTGTCCCTATTTGCTCTATCTACTGCAGCACGTTCAGACAGAGACGGAAATGGTTTGTCTTTACTGTGATAGTGAATGTACAGCCTCACCTATATCAGTGGCCAGCTGCTTGCTGGAGTGCAGCGTGAGTGCTGGGATCTGCAGGATGACATCACTGTATGTTTGCATGGTAGCACGGGCAAGAGATCCCAACCAGTAATCAGCCATGTTATCCAGTTCTGGAGTTTCCTCTCCTGCAATGGACAGAATATCAGAATCATTTCTAGAAACCCTAACAAAGACTTGGAACGAAGCCAGTCAACAGATTATCATCATCTCTGGGAACAAATCTATTGGAGTTTAGCAACTGAGGCTTTAAATGTCCTACAACTCAATTTTAAATGTGGCTTTTTCGTACAAAAAGTTTTTAATTCAGTCTTTGAATACATAAAAAATAAAAGAAATGTTAGGACCATGTGACGATTAGAAACATGGAACAACCAGAAGCAAAACAAACAAAATGATAAAGAGGTGTATTGTGGAAAAGCTGTCACCAACAACCCAGGAAACTCCCAAAGCTGTAAGTATAACATACATTATCCAGAGCTGGGCTGGGATGGCTATAAAAATGAAATACCCAGGGGAATCATATGCAATACAAGTAGAAATAAAACATACACTCAAACGTGGTGGAAATCCAGTACAAATAATTCTATATTCTTGCACATGTCAGAGAGTACCGCACAACAAGGAGGAAATAGAAATCAAGGATTGGTGAATTGTAGGGCTGAAGAGTCAATCTCTTGCCCACCTTCCTCTTTTCTGAGAGAAGGGAGACAAAAAGCCCTGCATTCAAACCTTCTCTGGCAGTAGGAAACAATTCTCAATCTCATAGCTTGTTTACTTATTTGCGAAGTATTGTGGTACATAACCATAATTAGTGAATGTGTGTGCCTCTGATTAGAGCGTGAAGAACCTTCTCTGTATCACGATTCCGTTGGGTGTCTGTACACATTTTTAACCAAAAGTCTGCTTCCTGAAACGGTGGGAATGACCGTGATTTGAAAAGCAAGGAATTCATTTTTTGCCAAAACATAATGCTTCTAACACAAGTCTGTGGCTGTAAAACCATACTATCTAAAGAGCCAGTAAGATAACCCTCAGGACATCTATAGAATTTAGCAAGGCCCATTTAGATCACCCAGAACGGCGCCCTTTACCTTTTAACAGAATCACATTCTATTAAAATAATACTATGCCAAAGTTCATGTGAAGTGTTAATGTTTTTGGTTAAGTGTTTTGTTTTGTGGGTGTGTGTATCGCAGAAGCCAGGATGTTTATTTGGTAAAGTACACTATGGGTCTAAACTAGCTTGGCAGTTGTGAGCCATTAATAAGAGTTTATGTGCCACTGTTGTTTGTTTTGTTTTTTTTTTTACCAATAAATCATTAGCTACATGCTCTGTGTCTACCTGCCTGGTTAAACATTTGCTTCAGACTCACCTTGCTCAGGTGGGTATGGTAGTTTCCCAGCATGCAACGCAAGTTCCAGTGTATTGTCTTCAGGTGTGACAAAGGGTTCAAGGTGTAGAGGAAGAGACATAAGATACTGCCCAATCTGAAAGTACAATGGGGCGATTAATGTGTTCAGGGCAACAGGAGAGTTACTACAAGGATGAGTCGCACTGCTGCATACTTACATTACTGATATACTCGAAAGGAGTGAGGCTGAATGTTGGCAAGTCATCGGTCAGAGTCTCACCTGAGCCTTCATAGCTCCAATTCTGTGGAACAAGTAGATTGGTCATCGAAGGATATGGAACTGGATTTCATTATTTGGGAAAGGTTTTTTTAAATGATTTAATATTTAGAAAATGATTTTAATACTGTAATATTTTGTTATATAGGTTTTATTTTATATATCTACATTTTTATAGTTTAACACATTGTAAAAATTATTTTAAACGTTTATCCACAAATATTAAATCATTCGAAGAGCTCATTCAACAATATTAAATCGAGGCCATAGTTGGGATGTTTTCTTTATTCTCATATTTGAGGGTCTAACCTCAATAAATTAACACACCGATCGCTGAAATCAGCAGAAGGTTTATAGGCAATGATTACCTCCATCTTCGGGACAAGGAGAAGCTGTTGTTTTATACGCAGGAAGACTGAATCGAACGCTAACTGATGAGCCATTTGGTTCTGGCGAGTAAGTGCCGTGCGTGAAGCTGCAAGAAGACTAGTGCTCACCGCTCCTTTCTCCTGATTGGAAGACAAAAATTGTGTTTAGTGTCTGGTTGTCCATGCGATTGGACAATGGTCAACCAATTCCCACAGAAAAACAACCATCAGCCTACATCAGGGGCGGATTTTTCTAATACTCCAAACTTTGTGCACAAAGCTCCCCATAATGGTAAAAGTCTGGCTGAACATCATGGGAAATGTAGTTTTTAAACATCTTGGTATAATCATTACACTGACATTTCACTGAAATGCTGAAAAATTTATTCAACATAGATTTGTCTTTCTTTCAAAATCTACCCATCACTGGATTTTTTTTTTTGGTCTCTATTAGTTTAGCCCGGTGATGCTGGAGGGAAGAGAGGGACATGCGTTTAAAGCAAGGAGACTTAATAAAGGATTATAACACCACAAGGCTCAAGTCTTAGTCCTAACTAATATCTATTATGTTATAGCAATAGTAATAATAATAATAATATATTGGTATAATTACTCTCCTTAAAATAAAAGCAAAGTTAAAGGTACACTATAGGCCACCGGAAAACTTCAGCTCATTGAAGTGGTCTGGATACAGTTCCATAAAGGAACGAAACCCAGTTTTAAAGGGAACTAACAGTAGGGTATATTATGTTAGTTAGCTCAGGGAACGATAACACAGAAAAAGAGCAGTTCCTTTAATGTGACATTTTAATTCACAGCATGGCTTTTTTTCCTTTCAGCATAATTCAGTGTTTGGTAAATAAAGGCCATTCAATGTTCTATAACGTGATACCATGACATGTTAACATTAGAGCTGTATACATTGACATGGCTATCATTTTACAAGACGCTGTCAGATTCTCTTTAACGCACAGGAGAGTAAGAGTCATGTTGTGTACCCATAAAGAAAGTTATGTGACAATCAGGGTACCCTGGGAAAATTCACAGAGAGCTGGAGCATGGCATGAAGGTAAACGGCAGCTGGGAGATCGGATCTGGGAAGGAACAGGTAGAGGGCTACGGGTGACAGACATGGCTGGAACAC